TGTCTTTTTAAAACGTTTCTTTGCATATAATAAAAAGAAAATTTGTTTAGTTTAGTGTAAGATCGAAATATATTTCACCTTGTGAACACCAAAAGTTCATATTTCACTCGTGGCTGCGCCACTCGTGAAATATACCTTTTGGTGCTCACTCGGTGAAATATATTCCGATCTTACACTGAACTAAACAAATATCCTCTATATAATGTTCCTGACAGGTTAAATGACCGTATATAAACGGTTGTTTGCAATATATTGGACACGGCCTTGTCCATTTTCGTCCTTCTTTATTCTATAGTAAATCTGTCACATTTAAAGCTTCATTATGGACTTCTATTAAACTTAGCAGAATTCTTTATTTCATAACTTTTAACATCAACACTAGACAAGTTAGTCGAAGCCCGAAATGTCCTATGTTAGCCATCTAGATTTCACAATATTTCTTAATTTGTTAAGTCACTGCCAAATTATCAAAGTTTCAAATGTCATGTATGCTGGCGTGTAGTACTTCTCGAATCCTTATACCAAGAAATGAGATCCTGCAGAATACACAAAAAAACAACTTTTAAAATCATCAGAAATGACACTAAATGACACTGTTACAATAAATACACTTAAAATGTAACCAGTCACAACAAAAATGACTTGAAATAGGGCACTTCAAAAATTTCAAAGAATTATTTTCTAGCCTACAACGGCCTGGGTCTAATTCCGTACCGGGGTGAGACCATAACCCTTGCCTAGCGGCTCGGGTTATAATTCCAAACAACCGTTTGTATACGGTCATTTAACGTGTCAAAATCGTTACAACTAATAATAAAAACAGTTATTGTTTATATAACTGGACTTCTATTTCAATTTATAATACAACACATTTTCTTTATTTGAAACAAAAACAAATAACTTCATGAATCAACAACAGCCGTGTATATAGTTTATGTAAAACATCACGTTTATCCAACGAAAACAAAACGACGTTACAAACGTGTAGTTTTTATTATAAGATTTATCTAATGCTTGTTTTCTGCTCAGTTAAACATTTTTTCTCACATTTGCTATTTCAGTGAGCATCCATCTCTTCCTACGATATCTTTTTATTTGAGGTCACTTTATACAAACGTCTGTGAATCACATCGTATTACCGGTGCCAGTTACAGCACAACATTTTCTGACTTCTAAAAGTAGGTTATAAACTGTTTGGTATATATTAACACTACGTAAATAAACTTCATTGACCAGGGATACTAGCAGGTAATGCTGGACCAGTTTCCCCATTAAAAAAAAGATTGAACAAGTTGAAATTTACAGTCTCAAAAAAAAATTCCATGAAATGGTTGTTTTAGTTCAAAGTGATAGAGGATTGTGTGTTATAGACACAAACAATCATCAATGAGGGCCACACTTTCCACATTTTTACCTATTGTGTGCAGTCTTATCAATAATGTTTCAGGCGTCGAACAGAAAATGCTGCCGTTGTAGACAGAGCTGCCGATGATGGCAGGAAGGTGTTGAAAGTAACTAACGTTCTCAAAGAATCTCAGGTAACAGGTAAAAGTGATACCCATCAGTGTGAAAAGATTATTACAACATGGTCACACGTTGTTTATCAATAATATTTACACAACACTTTCATGTACCATATAACATGGCTAATTTGTAATTTATGGTGACAGTAATCTAAAAAGGCTAATGAAGTTCTGCAAAATACAAATACTAATATAAAAAAATAATATAAAACGTGTGTATCCGGAAATGTTAAAATTCTTGGTAAGGGTGTAATACAAACATATTGAATGGATGTAAACCTTTGTTCTGGTTGCTTATATTCTGTTGCTCACACAACTTTTTAACATTTGGGATGAAGTGATATTACACCAACATCTTCGCCTAGAGATATATTCAATCGAATTCAATGTATTGACGGACTTAAAGAAAAACAAGTGAAGTATGTTTATGTGACTGACAAAAGAAAGAAACATTTGCCTGTTGAATTTGAGAAAAGGGAAAAATATAAGGCAGGTCCAGTGAACTTTTCGATCTACCAGCAAATTCTATGATATCCGCTCACATTACAAAGTCTAAACTTGACATCAAACTCGCGATACCACTAGTATTCTGTGTGAACCCTGTTGTAAAATAGTGCACATTTTCACTCGATGAATATTTTCTCAGTAAGAAGTACTTCCTGGATGAATGTTTCTCAGTAAGAAGTTCTTATACATGTATATATATGCACGATAAATCGACACGAAGCAGGCGGGACTGGAAACACATGTATCTTGATTGCCGGTCCAGTAAACAGACCACTACACCACAGCGACCGTTGCGTTTTCTTCGTGCTAATTGGCTTTATATGTTTAAAGGGTTTAAATCTCTAACTTATGGAATATTTTTATAAAATTTATCAACAGTAAAATTATATTGGTTCCATCATTATATGGCGAAAAAGTTGTAACAAAGAGTGTGTCTGTTATTTAACACAAATGAATAGTGAACATAAACAGAATAAAATGTTCCGGAACAAGAGTTTTATCCATTTAGTAATGATTTTAAGCATGTGACACTCGCTTTAAGGCAATTAATTATCATATTTATTTCATACAAGCATTTTGGCAGTATTTATTTTTTTGTATCAGATATATAGCTTTATACACTTTAAGTTATTTTTAACTTAATTGTTACGGTATAACTTTTATTACCATAGCGGCAAGCTACTCGATGAATATTTCTCAGTAAGAAATACCAACTTGATGAATATAACTCACTGAGTAGTTCTCAGTCAATGTATATAACTCAGTATTAAGTACTCACAAAATTAATACATCTCACTGAGAAGTACGGAATCGATGAATGCTATTCAGTAAGAAGAATATTCCAAAAAATATTACTAATTCAGAAGGACTTAAATGAATATTTCTCAGTCAAAATACTTATTTGTCGAATGTTTTCACTGAGAAGTTCTTGAGAAAAGCTCAATTCATAAATATAACATAAAGACTGGGTTTGATTGAGTCTAAACATGAGGGATAATGAAAAATTTCAGCATCCCTCACGCCCTCTACTACCGGCTTGAGCGGTACTCAGTTTCCAACACTTGAAAGTACGGGGCAACATTTTATGGGACACAGTACTTGACACCTGCTGTTGTGATGTTTATATTTGTGGAAAAAAGCTATCTCTCGGAAGCATTAAAACAGCAAAATTACACGAAAACTGCCAACCTGGTTTGATTGAGACTGTACATGAGAGATAGTGACGAAGTGCAATATCCCTCACGCCGCTCCCTATCACCGGCTTGAACGGTACTCAATTTTTCTTCTCAATTAAGAGTATTTATTCAAAAATACCCCAAGTACTTACTTGATAAATAGTACTGACCAAGAAGTACTCATTCGATATATATCACTAGGTAAAAATATTTGGAAAAAAGCGGAAGTATTTAAAACAGCAAAATTGCACATTCGGTTGATTGAGTCTGTACATGAAGAATAATGAAAAGTGGAACATCCCTGATGCTACCTGGCACCGTCTTGAGCGCTTCTCAATTCTCACCACTAAAAAGTGCTGGACTAAATGATCCCGACGGTCCAGAAAAATATTACAACACTGATGTTAAGTACAGGACATATACATACTTATCACACACCCGTGCTGATTTTGAGACTACGTAAATATAGTATTGCACGGCCGTGCATATATTTTGACGTGACGTCATTAGCGTTATACAAACATAGTGTAAAGACGCGCTAAATGTTACCGATATACTATAGGCGCGTCAATGAAATATGACTCTTATTTCACTTTAACCTTTTCCCTGATATAAGCGTGTTTCGACGGCTTTTTGCCCCCCCCCCCCCTTTTTTGAGGCTCAAACAGTGAAAAAATGCCCTATTTAGGCCCCAAACACTGTTTTTCGTTTGAGAAATGTTGTTCAAAAAAGTGACCACTTTTTCGGCGCCGTCCCCCATCCAAATATTACATCAGGGGGTTGCCAGAAGGGGGATGTGCACCCTTCTGTTTGGGGGGTTTGAAGGGGGGCGGAGTCCCCCTCATCTCCAAGAAAATTTTGGACATGTAACAGGCTAAAAATGGCCTCAGGTCGATCTTAGGGTAGCTAATAACAGACGCTGAAAAGCCTTTTACTCTATCTCAATTCATTGAGAAGTTGCAGCACTTTGAAATCAGGTTTGATGGAAAAAACAATGCAAAATAGTGATTTTGGCAATTTTGAGACGTCCCCCCGTTGCCATGGTAACAGGAAATTTGCCAAGTTTCATTAGTATTGAAGCATTTTTCATACTTTCATAGCAGTTTGAACTTGTTACAGGAGGCTTTTCAGTGAAAATGGCCATTTTTCGCAATATGCTCATGGGGTAAAAGGTTAAACGGTCTTTATTTTTAGAATGTGATAAATAGAATATTAAATTCGTGTAAGTTCATTACTGAATTTATTGCACTCGTTGAATAATATTATGCTCGCCAGAGGCTCGCATAATATAATTTTATTTTTAAAAAATCAATATTGAACTTACACTAATTCAATATCCTCTATTTATGCGATGAATGAAGTACTTGCTCAATATATTGATGCTATGAAACATAGCATAGTTTACACAAATGCAATAATCTCGAGCTTAATTAGAAAATATACTTTATATTGCATTACTTATTGACCTACCCTTGTATGTAAGTTAAGTATTATTTTATTACTTTTAAATGTGTTGTTCGCATTGCCTCAATTATGTTATGTTATGTTAGTACATTTCATTCCAACTGTAGAAATATCTTTTATATACAATATGTCAAAATATTTTTTGCTATCTATACAAGCATAAACAGTCCACCATCTTCCCGTCATATAAATAAAATGTATTGATTTTTTAAGTACTTTTTACGAAAAGGAAAGTGAATAAATGTGACTCATGTAAGTGATACTTGATTGTAATTGTCTATTACCGGTATGGGTTATACAATTTAAGTTTGGTACATGTTTTGGTTTCAAGTAATTAAGCTCTTCATCAGTAAAGATGAGATGTGATAACATCTAAAGCAATGCTCAAAATAGTTTAGAAAAGAATAATTAAGGAGGTGTTTGAAATTTTGTTAAATCGAACGTGATATTCAGATATAAAAAGGTATTTATCAATTCGTTTTATAATTTTATTGACATTTATAATATAATTATAGAATATATATACATGTATATTCAAGTTGAAATTTTATCAATGTTATTTTTATTACCACTATTTCCTTCAGAGTCTGATCATGTCTTTTCCCTGTGTTAGCAGGACATATATAAATAATTATAACAATTTGAAAATGTTTATAGCCTCTCACAATATTATGTAATAAAATATAGCTCTGTACAGGTCCGTTATTTCAACCGTATGTGCAGTTAGAGTCAAGCAACATTCAAAAAAGAACACACATATCCCCCCCCCCCCAAAAAAAAAAAAAAAAAAAAAATACAAACAAAAACACACACACACGCACGCACGCACGCACGCACGCACACACACACACACACACACACACACACACAAACAACAACAACAACAACATTTTGATATATACGAGGGTTTTCGAAGTAGTAAAGAACTGCTTTATTTTCTTTCACTCGTGTCGAAATCTCTCCTTAAATATAGTTCAATATGTAAATATACCATCTTAAAGTGCGCTCAACATCGAAATTCTTTTTTCTTTTCTTAAAACTCGAAGCGTTTCCAAGGTAACTGACGGTGAACGAAATATTATATGACGCAATGGGAAAATTAACCCCCTTTAAACCTTACAAAGACCTAATAACGGCACGTTTTGTATGTCAGTCTGTTGGAGATTGATGTCTTGGGTAAAACATAAACATTCGCCCTTCAATCCCAAACATGCCCTATTGACTTCTTTGTATTCCCGAAGGTGAAGTCCCGTTTGCTTGACACTCATTTCAACAGTTGGGAGGAGCTTACCGCGGACGATCGTGTCTGCATTTGGTAAAAATTCATTATATTGATACATTTAAAAAATGTGCCCCACGCCAACCAAATGCTTTTTGCGCTGGCGGAGACTACTTAGAGAAGGCGCTCTACGTGACGTCATTAATGACGTAAGTTAACAGATCTTGATCTCAGTGTTTTAGACAGTGATGTGTATATTTAGTATGTAGATCGTTAAATATTCCATGTATTTCTACAAATATTAAGGAATAATAATTATTATAAAATATGTCACTTTAGACATGCTTTTCATTATCTTTTTATTTTACTTAAATATAATTATTAATAAATGTACAGCAGTTATCTCATTACTTCTGCAACAACCCTCAAACACGTTTCTGATAAATTTTATTTCCAAACATGTATTATATTTTGAATGATACGTATGTCATATGTTCAACTATAAATTATGATTTTTAATGATATTTATATATTATGCATATTGATTGAATTTGGCAAAATTATGTAACCATGTTTTGTATGACTATCGAAATGATGATACGGACCCTTATTCATAGATTTTTATCGGCTAATGTCGGATAGTATCTTGAAAACCCAAAACCACTCTATACCACGCCATTAAATCCAACCTGTTTGCTTATAAGTGATAAAATTTCGAATTTGCAAATTATACTATTCATTTACATTCTCACAGAGCTGAAGTATGACGTCTTACGGAGCAACGAAAGAATGTAAAGAAGAAAGCCATAGTTTCGTTCTAAAAAAAATTGGCAAGTATTGGATCTTGAAAACAAATACTTCCTCAAAACGTCTTGCATTTCTTGACGATGCAAAGTATGTTGAAATTGACGATAACATTCTAATAGCAGATGAACGGTTATTTGAAATACACAAAAATGAAAAAGGTGAATATTCATTTCGCCATGTTGAAGATGTTGCCTGCGAGACCTATTTTTCTTTGACAAAAAGCTCAACCAAACCATTCATAAAAAGAATTGATACCCCGAAAGCACCAATAAAGACGAACAAAGACAATAATGATATGGATGTGTATAATTATGTTGAAAATGAACAAGTCCCAAGTGCACGTTCTGTAAATGACGAATATTATGAGGAAGTGAATTTAGATGAAGGTGAAACAGAACATTTTAAATTAGTTAACGACTCTTTGCCTCGGGACGATAAGAAAATGCAGCATTTTGACAAACAGTTGAGTTCGTCGGCTTACACTAAAAGCTGTAACGACTATTTAAACATTAGATCTGTCGGTGAATTAAAGATTGAATCTGACGGTGATTTAAACACTGGGTCTGCAGCCAAAATGATGAAAGGGCACGATAGGTATGATTCCGTGGAGGTTGGTAGTACGGAAGTAGATAGTAATATAAATGTTGTAGACATGACAAAAACAACATCTGGAGGTAATTGATTTTTATCTAGAATTACGAATGTTACAGCTATAAGTGCAATTTATGAGGACAAATATAATGATACGATCCCATTGAGTATTGAGCGTAACATATGATAATTTTGATCCCGTTACTAACGCCTTCTTATTAAAACCTTTCACCAGAATGAATTTCTTGTTATAGTTACTTGTAATTGCATGTCAACTGTTGAATCAAAATGATGAAATCTGACTGTCGATATATGAAGTAATGCAATGATCTGCTTTATGTTCCTGAGTCTTTTTGTATTGGCTGTAGATTTATCATATTATTGACTTTAATAGAATAGATTTCTTTCTTTTTAATTAAAACATTTTTTTAAACAATATGTGAGTGATGCCATAATTCGGCCCATTTGCTCATGTGAGTAAAGATGAAAAACGAGACGCGAATATTAAGCACATTTTTAATTAGATAGTATTCCTGCAAAAATCTTTTGTTTTATTGCATATTTATTTGTAATATTTTGATTTCTAAAATACCCAGCAGGACCTAATTTTGTGGTAGGTGTTTACAGATATGGGACCAGAGAGATTGACGCGATCTAATGGACCTTAGCCTTCACCACACTAAATAACTTAAATTTGATTTCTCTAGACAATTCAAATTGAACATTTCAACATAAGTACTCAATGAATAATGAACTGTGCAGAACATGCTCAGACGACCTAAATATGACGTCTTATCATGGTTTACACCGGAAGCCTGGGTAAATAATGTTAATAACCTACTATGAAATGTGAAGCCAGTCTTTTTTGTTTAAAAGTTTTTATTGATTTTCATGCGTTTTGTAGAAATGATTTTTGTATTTTTTTCCATCTTTATAGGTAATCAACATGACGAGTTTCAAGTAATCATTGAACCATCACAACTGACAAAGATGTGTGCTATTGAAGGGGAGATGACGCTATCGATAACGGATACGGCATTTATTTTCAAAGATATTAACACGGGAAGAGAAAAGTACAGGTTTCCGTTGCCTTGGATAAGACGTTTCGGGAAAGACGATTCAGTTTTCAGTTTTCAAGTTGGTCGAAAATGTCCGAATGGAGCAGGAGATGTGATCTGTATAACTAAAAAAGCCAAACAAATTCATAAGAAGTGTATCAAATTATCGAAAGATAAAAAAGTATGAAATGAGAATATTATAAAATATGTAAATATCCCGTCGCGTGACAACACTAAGTTTGATTTTAAAAAAAAAGAAAAGAAAAAACAACAACAACAAAAAACAAGCGAGGAATCCCCCAAAATTATATTATATTATATATGTATATATATATTTCAACATGATATCATTTGCGTTACACAAGCATAGTGTTAAGAAGCGTTAAATGTTAGCGTTATACTATAGACGCGTCAATGAAATTTTTCTTTTGTCAATTCAAACGGTCTTTATTTTTGGTATGTCATAGATAGAGTGTTAAATTCGCGTAAGTTCATAATTTATTGCACTCGTTGAATAAAATAATATTATGCTCTTGACAGAGGCACGCGGAATAAAATTTTATTCAATTCGTTTTATAAATTCATTTTAATATCATCTATTTATCAAATTGCCATTTACTCGATATCACAAGTATACTGATTGAACCCTTCGTATAATAGTGCGCACTTTCACTCGATGAATATTTCTCAGTAAGAGGTACTTCCTGGAAGAACGTTTCTCAGGAAGAAGTTCTCATTCAATATATATTACTAAGTTAGAAGAACCCTGCCGAATGAATAAGTTGATATACATATAAATAAAGTGTACTAATTCAGAAGTGCTCATTCGATATATATCACTCAGTAAGAATAACTCACATGATGAATATATGATATATAATAGAAGTACCCAGCCGAATAATTAATATTATACATGTATATATAATTTAATATTTAACTAATTCAGAATTACTCATTCGATATATATCACTCAGAATAACTTACTCGATAAACACCACTCCATAATAATTACTACTCGATGAACATTTCTCAGTAAGAAGTATCCACTCGATGAATATTACTCACTGAGAAGTACTGAATTGATGAATATTAACCAGAAAGAAGTGCACCCAATTTAATATTACTAATTCAGAAGTACACATTCAATATATATATATCACTCAGTAAGAAGTATTCATACAATTAATATTTCTCAGTGAAAAAAAAAACTCAATCGTCGAATATTTTCACTGAGAAGTTCTTACTGAGAAAAGCTCCATTGATGAATTACTAAAAAAATACTCGGTTTGATTGAGTCTATACATGAGGGATAATGAAAAGTGCAGAACCCCTCACGCCTCTAATTTTCAAAACCAATTATGCTGGAACCAATTATCCTGAAGGAACATAAAACTATAACGACACTGAAGTATATAGTAAGGGTTGCAACACAGCACTTGATACCAGCTGTTGTGATGAAACAAGAAGTATCTTTTGAAAAGGTCGAAGTAAAACTGGGTTACTTGCATATGTCAGTTCTTAATTTTCCATGCAAAGTTATTAAAATGTTAGCATAGCTTGCATTACAATAACGTAATCATTTCTTGTAGGGTAATCAATCTTGAAAAATGAAACACATTAAGATGTATGTGTTTCTTTACAATAGGCAATTATTTTTATAAATACTTAATTAATATGCATTAATACATATTAGAATTATAAACATAATATCATATAATATAGTACACATGTATTGAACTTCATAAACTAAGGGTAACTGATAAGTTCTGACATTATTCGTATTATTTTGGACAAAAATTAAAACTTGTCTTAAATAAACTCAGTAAGTTATTATGCATTTAAATTTTTTATTTTAGTGTTTATTATTTATTTTTTTAAATTGAATTTTGATTTTGCTTTTATTTCTTAATGTACGCTTTAATATCGGTAACATCTTATAACAGAATGCATAAGAACAAAAACAGATAGGAATATCTAAGTAAACCAATCTACTGTAATCCCTTCAACAAGATAATTAATCCTATTTCAGACGTTTTTGATTGTAAATGTTACAAAAGAAATTTTAACACTATCAGTAATCATAAGCTCAATTGTCAAGAACTTACAGGGTTTCTATTAATACTTTTATTAAAAAGTAAAAATTGTTTCATTGGATGATTCCAAATTTCATTACACGAAATTTAATTTGATTGGTTAAAATTAAGTAAGTGAATTAAGGGTCACATGATGTACACTAAAATTGATTGGTCTATAATTGATACGGAAGTTGTTGTTGTAAAGTCCTTTCCTCTGAAGAGCCATTGGTTTGAAATAGTTGAAATATAGTTTGAAAATCAATTGTGTAAAAGACATCTCTTTGTATTCTAGGTAGTAAAATATTAAAAGTTAATGTTAAGAGAGTGTTGTACTTTGTAATTTTTGGTCTTATAATATGTTCTGACCTAAATGCACGTGTAATTGTTTTAAATAGAAGTCATTTGATATATTGCTTTCTTAGATAGTAACTTAAGGTTTGTCATGTGTAGCACTTGTCGCAATTGTTTAAACTTTTGGTCGTTACGTTTAATTTGATCAGTTGGCATAATTTAAAAGAAAAGTTCTGTTTATGTTAATCTATGAATAGATATGAATTGTATTACTCTACTTTGTAATAGTTGAAAAATTGCTTGAAAATAAATTGAGCAAAAAACTAGGACATCTTGTTTGTATTCTTCTGTTCACTAGAAAATTTAATGAATTTTAAATGCAAGAAGTATTGTACAAGTTTATCAATAATCAAGGTTTTCTAGTATTTTAAATTTTTATTCTCATATTTAGTACTCACGCGATTAAAATGTCTCAGTAAAAGTATTCATTGATGTATATAATTCACTGGGGAGCATTCGCTCGACGTAAATTACCTACTAAGAAGTACTCACTCAAAAGAATAGCTCACAGAAGAAATTCACACGATGAATATTACCCAATGAGAGATACTCACTCGATAGATATAGCTCACCGAAGAAATTCACTTGATCAATTCTACCCACTGAGAAGTACTCACTCGATAGATTTAGTGTCCAGCTTTATTTGTCATCTAATGAAAACGCTGTTTTTCTCAAAAATTCTCTGTGTTAATTTTCATAGAAGAACAAAAGTCGATACTATGTCGAATGCTGTTCATAGTCGCCTTCTATTTTCATAGCACTTCATAGAACCGCGTAGTGACGTAATTAAGTAAATAATAATGAGCCCAAATAAAGCTTGACAATAAGCATGTTAGTATTCATCCGTAGCTGTTCTACAGAAATTAGAAACATTCTCCTGTCGCTATCGCTCGATGTTTCTAATCACTCGATAGATATAGCTCACACAAGAAATTCACTTGATGAATATTACCTACTACCTACTGACAAGTATACTATTACCTGCTGTGAGGTACTCACTCAATGAATATTGCTGTTGTATTCAGTTCACATTCGATGAACAATACTTACTGAGTATAGGGATCACACACCGGATGCCTGTACAAACAGGAATATTTAAGTTGATGGTAACTGATTACAGCCGAGTTCCCGCTCAACAATTACTGTGAAGACAGTTGGCGTATAATTTTTTTCTTACATGCTATATTTCTATCGCAATTCGGAAAGAAATAACGAAACCAATTCTTTTCAAATAGCACTTTTTTTATAATTGAAGCGTATACTTTATTCATGACAGTAAAATGACGTCATGCTAAGAAAGCAATTCATTCATAAAGGCACCTGGGAATGACGTCATTAAAGAATGCAACACGGAGATGTAAGATAAATTCAGTATAATAGTAATAATCATGTTATATAAGTATTTAAATAGTAAATCAAATAATCATATCGAGTTCTATAAATTAAGCATTTTGCGTAGATCTTAAACTATTTATCAAATAGGGGGCTTACCCCCATCCTCCCCCCCAAAAAACTGTCTACATTAAGACTGTAAAACGTATTTATTGAAATGTTTTGTGAAATTGTAACGCTAAGATTTACTGAGTCGCAAAATCAGCACGGGTTTGTGATAAATGAAGGTTTTTCATTGACCACTACTAGCCCGTGTTTCAGCACGGAGCACCTTTCGGTCGTATTTTAGATAAAGTTTCTCGTGTAAAGTATTTTTAAATGTAAACAAAATTGGTAAATGATTGGCTACACGGATAATTTTGGCATTATTTGAAAATAGAAGCTTTGAAACATTGCATAGTTTACACAAACACAATAATCACGCCCTAAATTAGAAAATATAATTTATATTGCATTACATATTGACATAAGTTTGTAAGTTTTGTTATTATTTTAATAAAATTTAAATATGCTGTTCGCATACGAACAATTATGTGATACTATGACGATACTTTTCATTCCAACTGTAGAAATATTTTTTCTATACATTATGTCAATAAATTTTTCATGTTTACAAGCATAAATAGTCAATTATCATCATGTCATACATGAATAAATAAAATGTACTCTTTTACGGAAAGGGAAGTAAATAGATATGATTCATATATTGTTATTTGTTTTGCAATTGTCTATTATGTGTTACACAAATAAGATGTTGGAACAAATTCATCTGTAAAGATGAGATAATATAACATGTAAAGTTTAAAAATATGTTCAATTCTCAAGACATTTTGAAAAGAATATTAAGGAGGTGTTTGAAATATTGTTAATTCGAACGTGATATTCAGATATAAAGAGGTATTTATCAATTCGTTTTATAAGTTTATTGACATTAACAATATAATTATAGAAGATATTCAAGTTTAAGTTTTCTAAATGATTGTATTATATTTTGTGAGATGGGTGGGCCCCTGCTATTGAAAGGTAAAACTCTGTATAAGCAAATGCAATTATTACAACTATTTATTAAGTATTTTCTTCATAATCTCTTCATGTGTTTTCCCTGTGTTATCAGTACATAAAAAACAACTAAAAAAAACAACAACAACAAAACATTATTTTCACATATACGAGGGTTTTCGCAGAAGTAAAGAGACTTTTGTCATAACTACTTTATTTTCTTTCACTCGTGTCAATATCTCTGCTTAAATATAGTTTAATATGTAAACCATATTAAAGAACGCAATACATCGAATTCTTTTTTCTTTACTTAAAAATTCGAAGCGTTTCCAAGGTTTCTAACGGTGCACGAAATATTATATGACGCCAAGGGTAAATTTGTCCACTAAATACCTAACAAAGACCTTATAACAGCACGTTTTGTACGTCAGTCTATAGGAGACAAACAGAGAGGCCAACGCCCTACCAAACTGCGATTAACCCTCTTAAAGCAGATAAGAGAAAAAATTGTCTAGGACTGAAGGTTTGCAGTAAGAAGTTTAGCCTCAGCACTTGGTTCATCTAAGGATGCAGTTGTTCGGATACTTGAAGATCTGAACATGAGCAAGGTGAGCGCTAGATGGGTACCACGACTTTCTTATCGACGACCAAATGACCCAGCGACTGATGTCATCGTCAAGATTTCTGGAGCGATAAGAGAAATGCGATGCGTTCCTAGACAGGATAGTCACACAGGGTGAAACTTGTCCTTGCAATTATGACACAGGAACAAATGCCTACTCGTCTATTCGGACAGCTACATGATCACCACCGCCGAAGATGGGTGTGACGATCAGGTGGCAGGCACACGTGAGTCTTCTTTAGTGTTTAATTAGATAGATATATTTCGAAATGGTTACAATAAGTACAGAAGGTGAGAAAAAATGGGTCCGACGCCACACAAAATGTGTTCGCACTGGCGGAGACTACGTAGAGAAGGCGTTGCACGCGAAGTCATCTGTGGCGTAAGTTTTTGTGCTTCGTGTTTCAGTCAGTGATGTGTGTATTTAGTATGTAGATTTTTTAATATTCCTTGTATTTCTACGAATAATATTCAAATATGGCACTTAAGACATGTTTTTTATTTTCTTTTGAAATTATTTTTTTATTATTATTAAATGTACAAAAGTTATCTCGTTACTTCTGCGACAACCCTCAAACTTACAAAAAGGAACATGTTTTACATGAATTTTCATTCTTTTCACATACATTTTGAATGAAACATGTGTCATATGTAAAACTTTATCCATACCTACCATTAAACCTAACCTGTTTGCTTTCCTTTCAAGCGATCAAGTTTCTTAGTTTCAAATTGTATTATTCATTAACATTCTCAAAGTGCTGAATTATGACGTCTAACGATGAAACAAAAAGATTTAAAGAAGAAAACCAGAGTTTCGTTCTAGAGAAAGTCGGCAAGTATTGGATCCTAAAAACAAATACTTCCTCAAAACGTCTTGCATTTCTTGATGAGGCTAAGAATGTTAAAATTGACGATAACATTCTAATAGCAGATGGACGATTATATGAAATACATAAAAATGAAAAAGGTGAATATTTATTTCGACATCTTGAGGATGTTGCCTGCGAGATCTACTTTTCTGTGACTGAAAGCACATCAAAAACATTCTGGAAAAAGATTGATCCCCCGGAAGAACCAATAAAGACGAACAAAGACATTAATAAAATGAATGTTTATGATTGTTCTAAAAATGAACAAGTCCAAATACAGCATGAAAAACCAAGTGCACGTCGTGTAAATGAAGATTATTATGAGGAAATTGATTTAAATAAGGGTGCAACAGGACATTTTGAATTAGAACACTATTCTTTGCATCGGATCGATAATGAAATGCAGCATTTGGACACACTACTAAATTCTTCTTCTGACACTAATAGCTGTCATGAGGATTTAAACATTGGATCTTTTAGTGAATTAAAGATCAGGTCAGACAGTGATTTAAACATTGGGTCTGCAGCCGAAATGATGGAAGGACACGAGAAGTATGATTCCGTGGAGGTTGGTAGTACGGAAGTAGATAGTCATATAAATGTTGTAGACATGACACAAACAACATCTGGAGGTAATTGATGTTTATCTAGAATAACGAATGTTACAGCTATAAGTGCAATTTATGAGCAGAAATATAATTATTTCTTACATTTTGAGTTCTTAAATACCCAGCAGGACCTAATTTTGTCATAGGTGTTTACAGATATTGGATCAGAGAGGTTGACAGTATCTAAAAACCTAGCCCTTACCATAATAAATAGTTAAAATTGATTTCTCTAGACAAAACCATTCTATAATTCTAATTGAACATTTCAACATAAGTACTCAATGAATAATGAACTGTGGAGAACATGATCAGACGACCCAAATATGGCGTCTGATCATGGTTTACACCGGTCGCCTGGGTGAATATTGTTGAAATAACCCTACTATGAAATATGAAGCCAAGCGTTTTTCGTTGAAAAGTTTTCATAGATTTTCGTGCGTTTTGTAGAAATGATTTCTTGTATTTTTTCCATCTTTATAGGAAATCAACATGATGAGTTTCAAGTAATCATTGAACCATCACAACTGACAAAGATGTGTGCTATGGAAGGGGAGATGACGCTATCGGTAAAAGATACAGCTCTCTATTTCAAAGATAAGAAAATGGGAATCACAAAATACTGGTTTCCGTTTTCTTGGATAAGACGTTTCGAGAGTTACAATTCGTTTTTCAGTTTTCAAGTTGGTCGAAAATGTCCGAATGGCGCAGGAGATGTGATCTGTATAACTAAAAAAGCCAGACAAATTCATAAGAAGTGTATTAAAGTTAATAAAAATAAAATGGCAAGTATGAAATGAGAATATTATAAAATATGTAAATGTCCCGTCGCGTGACAACACTAAGTTTGATTAAAAAAAAACAAAGAAAAAACAACAACAACAACAAAACAAACAAACGAGGAATCCCCCAAAATTATATTACATTATATATGTATATATATTTCAACATGATGTCATTTGCGTTACAAAAGCATAGTGTTAAGACGCGCTAAATTCTAGCGTTATACTATAGACGCGTCAATGAAAATGTTCTTTTTCACTTCAAACAGTCTTTTTTTTGGTATGTGATAGATAGAGTGTTAAATTCGCGTAATTTCATAATTTATTGCACTCGTTGAATAAAATAATATTATGCTCTCGACAGAGGCACGCGGAATATAATTTCATTCAATTCGTTTAATAAATTCGGTTTGAAACTTACACTTATTTAATATCCTCTATTTATCAAATTGCAATCATTTACTTGACACCAAACTCGCGATAGCACAAGTACACTGTTTGAACCCTTCGTATAATAGTGCGCATTTTCACTCGATGAATATTTCTCAGTAAGAGGTACTTCCTGGAAGAATGTTTTTCAGTAAGAAGTTCTCATTTGATATATATATTACTAAGTTAGAAGTACCCTGCCGAATAAATAAGTTAATACACATAAATTAATATTACTAATTCAGAAGTGCTCATTCGATATATATATCACTCAGTTAGAATATCTCACTCGATGAATATATGCTATATAATAGAAGTACCCAGAAAATAATTCATATAATATATATAAATTAATATCAAACTAATTCAGAAGAACAGTACTCATTCGATATTTATCACTCAGTAAGAATAACTCATTAATAAACATCACTCCATAATAATTACTACTCGATGAACATTTCTCAGAAAGAAGTATCCACTCGATGAATACTTCTTACTGAGAAGTACTGAATTGATGAATATTAACTAGGAAGAAGTATATTCCCGTGAATATAATTAATATCACTTAGTAAGAAGTATTCATTAAATGAACATTTTTCAGTGAAAAATACTCAATTGTCGAATGTTTTCACTGAGAAGTAATTACTGAGAAAAGCTCCATTGATAAATTACTAAATAACCTCGGTTTGATTGAATCAATACATGAGGAATAATGAAGAGGTACAGAATCCCTCACGCCCCTAGCACCGACTTGAGCAGTATACTTTTCAGAACTTAAAAGTGCTGGAATCAATTATTCTGAAGGACCAGAAAACTATAACAACACTGAAGTATAGTAAGGGGAAAAATGTCACAGCCGCCATACAACACTTGACACCTGCTGTTGTGATGCAAAAATATCTGGATAAAAAGATACACTGGATAACTTGCATATTTCAGTTCTTAGTTTTCCATGCAAAGTTATATAGAAATGTTAGCATAGCTTGCACACCAATAACGTAATAATTTATAGTAGGGCAATTATAAGAATAAGCTTACAAATGAACTATAATGTGGAAATAAATTACAATGTAAATTGTTTTGTGTCTAGAATTATATTATGTCTACCACTAATCGTCACTATTTCTTTATTCAACATGAGAAATTGTTCATGCCTTTACAAATTAGATAATACATGTTAATACCCATTGCTTTATAATAGTTAGTATAGATAGCACCACCTCGGACAAATACATTGTATATATTGTTAAGTATTATATGTAAATATTAATTTGAATTTACATTGATTATCTTACAATTGATACAGACTATTATAAGCTGAAAAGACATACATCAATTTGATGTCATTTATTTTTAATTTTTTTTGCATGCTGTATTGATTTTTGTAAATATGTGTATGTTTTCTATTCATGTATAATCAAACACGACAATACTAATAGGATGTTATATGAAACATGCAAAAAGTTAAAGCAGAAAGGAAATTTATCAAATTGATTCTTCCATCTGAATAATATATTTAATTTCTGTTAATATTTTGTGTTTTCTTTTAAAATATGCATGAAATTATAAATAATATCTAATGACAATTAAACATGCAATGAATTTATTTTGTTAATGTTGTGAGTATAAATATTTGTTTCGTTTTGTATTTTTATGTAGAAAAATACTGATATAATACTATATGCACTTACCGAGGTACACATGAAATGGTTAATCCATTTAATTTCAGTGAAAAAAGAAGACAAAAATGGAAAAAATGAATATAGTTTGGATCCATTACTCCTGTACTTTTTATAGGAATAAAGAAAATTTAGAGGATGAATTATGCATTATTACCCCTCACTTTTTACGTAATGTTAATTTCCCATAGGCCTCTTGGTGTTATTCTTACTGTTAATGCAAGTGTACCACGTGACGAAGAATGTTGTACTGTCACATAGGTAACAGTATTTTTAACAGTATCATATCTGGTCACGTGGTCTTTTTTCTAAATAAAATGAAATAAAATTGCCGCCATTTATTTTCCTCGATTCATTCTTATTTTCGACGATAGGGCATTGCCGAAGTAACTATGACTCTCATAAAATTTAGTTCTTTGCACCCTCAAGTTCTTTTCGCGTATAAAACATCTTTTTGTTGAATAGTAAAAAAGTAAACATCCGTTTTCAACGTAAGTAATTGTAATGTGAATAATTTTGTGTCAAACTGGAACATGCAGGCGATTAAAGCATGCAACAAAGGATTATTTAACAATTTTAACCAGTGAAACTTGGTTGACAGACATCTGTAGGATATCATCGTTATTTTCTAAATGCACTTTGTCAAAAACCATGCGAAGAATATTTTGGATACAGAAGGATCAGATATCACAGATCATAACCTTATAAATGGATTAGTGTTTTGTTTTCTAAATAAAACACAGCTTATTGTATGTTTATGACTGGTAGATATCATCACTTGCTTAAAGAATAAAAGAATAACAGCTTCTCAAGTAGGCCTACAGTACAATAAAAACTTGCAAGGTAACTTGCCGCGGGTAACAGTATTTTCCCCGGGATGATATTTTTACTGTTACCCACAAACCCATGTGTTATTTATATATTAAAATGTTTTATTTTATTTTTCATATTTTTTCTAATTTTGATTTTGCTTTTATTTCTTAATGATCGCTTTAATCTCGGTCACATCTTATAACAGAATGCATAAGAACAATATCTAAGTAAACCAATCTCTGCAATCCCATTAACAAAATCTTATTTCAGACGATTTTGACAGTAAATGTTACAAAAGAAATTTTAATACTATCAGTAATCATAAGCTCATTTGTCAAGAACTTACAGGGTTTCTATTAATTCGCTCGAGGTAAATTACCTACTAAGAAGTAGTCACTCAAAAGAATAGCTCACAGAAGAAATTCACACGATGAATATTACCCACTGAGAGGTACTCACTCGAACGATATATCTCACAGAAGAAATTCACTTGATCAAATCTACCCACTGAAAAGTACTCACTCGATAGAAATTAGTGTCCAGCTTTATTTGTCATCCCATGAAAACGCTGTTTTCCTCAAAAATTTTCTGTGTTAATTTTCATAGAAGAACAACTAAAAGAATATGTTAGTATTCATCCGTAGCTGTTCTATAGAAATAAGAAACATTCTCCTGTCGTTATCGCTCCCGTAGATGTTTCTAATTTCTATAGAACAGTACGGATGAACACTAACATAATACATAGCACACAGACATAATTGAGTCAATGAATATTACCCACCGAGAGATACTCACTCGATAGATATAACTCACAGAAGAAATTCACCATGTTCACTTAATGAATATCACCTACTACCTACTGAGAAGTACTCACTTGATAGATATATCTCACAGAAATAATTCACTGGATGAATATTACCCGCTGTGAGGTACTCACTCGATGAATATTGCTATTGTTATCAGTTCTCATTCGATGAACAATACTCACGGAGTTTAGGAATCACACACCTGATGCCTGTACAAACAGGAATATCTAAGTTGATGGTAACTGATTACAGCCGATTTTCCGCTAATCGATTACTGTGAAGGCAGGTTGCGTATATTTTTTTCTTGCATGTTATATTTTTAGCGCAATTCGGAAAGAAATAACGAAACCCATTTTTTTTCATATAGCACTTTTTGCGACGGACGCGCCCTCAGGCGCGTTCAGAGCTAAGTCATCTTCACATGGGATTTCGTCTGCTACAATCGCGCAATGTGTCCTCAACCGATTAACAGCCCAAGAAATAGTACATGAATTTTATCCTTTAAAACTCCCATACTTTGTCGGGATATCTTAAAATCTTCCATATTTAGCCTTTTCAATTTCAAATTAAGTTATCCAAGTTAAAATATGAACGTAAATGATTGATAAAAACGTTGTAGTCCCGTAGTATTATTGCGCAATATGCAAATTACTGCCGAAACGATTTACCGCTGTCGAAAAAGTAGGACAGCAAATTATACTATAATAAAGGTGTAAGCTCTGAGTTCCAAGAAATTATTAGTAGGAAATAAATATTTCTACATTATACAAAACATTATTAATAACAAATCAAAAGTTTTTCGTGACTCTAGAAGAACTCGCGCATTAATAAAAGAAGAACTATTTTCGTGACTCATACCGCGGGTTTAGCTGAATATTCAGCAGTTATTAATAAATTAGATACAGTACAATGGTTAGCATAAATATCTATTTTTGAAAATGCATGTAACAAGAGGGTTTTTCAACACTTTTCCCATGTAGTCTTTCATTGTAATCTTTATTGAAGGAAGTTATAATATCAGTTCTACTTCCGATTCTTGTGGTTTGTTTACATATTTTTCTAGGTCACGATATGAGTTAACCTTCGCTATTCTAAAAATAGATTCTGCTGCACCTGTGCTGATCTTCGGACAGGCGATTAGTACATGTAATAAACCAGCGGATACTTACTTTGTTTACATGCAATACTTTTAGAAATTCTATACAATTGTAAGAAGCAAACAAGTTGAAAATTGAATTTAGTGTGAAAATGAAAAGGACAACTAAACACCGTAGTGCTTAAGTGACATTTAAATTAAAATAAAAACGATGTGCTCTGGCCCTTGTAAATAAAAAAAAATCTTAAAAAATACACTATTAATTGCTGATGATTTTAACCAAAAATATTTTTAATGAGACATATCCAAGAGAAATAAAAATACAAATGACTTATATTTTATTGTCTATATGCCCACTATGTTATAACACGAAGCAATTCTAAATTTAACATTCTCACATGTATAATGTATATGCTTGAAGTTTATTTGCATGGTTTTATTTAATAAATATTTCGTTGACAGTTTTTTTTTCTATTTACATATCATTTCTTGGAATAAATCGATAAGGACACTGATTAGAGTTTTTAGGCATAAATTTCATTTTGTATTTAAATGCTTGAAAGTAGAATATCTGAATTATATCAGATTGGGACACAAAATGTATTGCTCTACAAATCTCGAACTTGTATGGAACAAATTTTCTTTTGTTATATATTTTGTGTTTTATTTTTGTTGTTATTTTCTAAAAAAAGCCTTAATGTCTCTCCGGTTGCATGTCCGTCGCATTCAGTGCTGCAGCACTTTGATTTATAATTGAAGCGTGTAAATTTATTCATGACAGTAAAATGACGTCATTCTAAGAAAGCAATTCATTCATAAAAGGCACGTGGGAATGACGCCTTTAAAGCATGCAACACAGAGATGTAAGATAAATTCTTCTAGTATCAGTATAAGTAGTAATTAATCATGTTTGATATACAAAAAGGAGGATATTTAGTAAGTGTGGCTACAATATTAAATTTATTGAAGGAGTTGAATAAAATCATATTACTGTATTTGAGTCTCTTGCTTATATTATTGAGCGAGTTCAATAAATTAAGCATTTTGCGTAGATCTAAACTATTTATTAGATAGGTGGCTTACCCCCATCCTCCCCCAAAAAACTGTCTACAATAAACCTGTAAAACTTTTTTATTGAAATGTTTTGTGAAATTGTTACGCTAAGATTTACCGAGTCGCAAAACCAGCACGGGTTTGTGATAAATGAAGGTTTCTGATTGACCACTTCTGACCCTTGTTTCAGCACTGAGCACAGATCGGCCGTATTTTACATATAGTTACTCGTGTAAGGAATTTTTAAATGCGAACAAAATTTATAAATGATTGACTACACAGATAATTTTGGCATCATTTGAAAGTAGGCTTTGAAACATAGCATAGTTTACAGTTTAAATTAGAAAATATAATTTATATTGCATTACATATTGACCTAACTTTGTTTGTAAGTTTTGTTATTATTTTATTACATTTAAATGTGCTGTTCGCATACGAACAATTATGTTATACTATGACGATACTTTTCATTCCAACAGAAGAAATATCATTTTCTACACATTATGTCAATATATATTTTAATTTGTACAAGTATAAATAGTCTACCATTATCACGTCATATAAATAAAATGTATAGAATTTTAGTTACTATTTTACGCCAAGGGAAGTAAATAAATATGGTTCATGAAATTATTTGTTGTACAATTGTCTATTATGTGTTATACAAGTAAAATTTTGGTACACGTTTCGGTAATTCAAGTATTCGAGTTATTCATCTGATAGGCTGAGAAGTGAAAACATGTAAAGTTTAAAAATATTTTTAATTCTCAAGACAGTTAAGGAGGTGTTTGAAATTTTGTTAAATCAAACGTGATATTCAGATATAAAAAGGTATTTATCAATTCGTTTTATAACTTGATTGACATTTACAATATAATTATGGAAGATATTCAAGTTTAAATTTTGTAACATTTTGTGAGGTGGGTAGGTAGGGAGTATATGAGGTCACTGCTATAGAAGGTAAAAAAACTGTATATACAATTGGATTCAATTCGTGTTAACATTCGTGTTATTACAACTATTTATTGCAATTATTTTCTCCAGAATCTGTCCATGTGTTTTCCCTGTGTAAGCAGTCTATATATAATAAATAATTATAACAATTTGAACTTTTTTGTAATCTCACCACAAGATTATGAAATAAAATTATAGCTCTATACCGGTTCATTATTTCAGCCGTATTTACATCTGAGGGTTTTCGCAGAAGTAAAGAGACTTTTATCATAACTGCTTTATTTTCTATCACTTGTGTCGATATCTCTGCTTAAACATAGTTTAATGTGTAAACCATCTTAAAGAACGCTCTACATCAAAATACTTTTTTCTTTACTTAAAAACTCGAAGAGTTTACAAAGTAACTGACGGTGCACGACGCTAATGGAAAATTTACCCCCTATAAACCTAACAAAGACCTTATACAGTTGTTCCAAAAATTATGCTGTTTTGCAATTTTTTGATGTCCCGGAAACGTTATAATGTATTCATAACTTCAGTAAATCGATACCTTTGGTAAAAATAATGTGTCAATGCTTAAAACACTAGAATATATGTCAAAACCTCACAAAATTTGATTTTAATACCTTACACCATTCTCAAAAACATTCAAAAATCGGTCTTTTTCCCTTGTCGCTAGTAACGGTGGTATATTTCAAATGAGTCTTAACAACAGTTAATGAAATTTCTAAGAAAAAACTTTTCATAGTAACTAAAATAGACCTATCTTGTACTTATAAAGAGGTAACACGTCCAGCCAAGTTCAAAACCTCACAACCTGGTTTGGTGCTTCTATGTCTCCGGAATAGTATTAACTTCCGCTCAAGTTATTGAACTTTGTTTTATAAAGGTATGTATCCTCAATAATGTCGTGTTTTTGGGATATCATATCAGTGGATTTTGTTTAAAATTGTTGAATTACCCTTAAATTTTATCAAATAGAGAAAAACAGAATCCATAAAGAAAGCCCAACATGGCAAAGCTACTTAGTCGAGCACCATATCCCATCATACAGTTTTCACTGAAAAAAAAACACTAAAAAGTGTTTAACTTCCGTGACCAAAGGTTTAGAAACATTTTAAGGTATAACTTCCCTATAATGGTTCTTAATGATTTTAAGGCTGGTTTTGGACCGGTTTTTAGATGGTTTAATAGTTGATGTTTCTTTCTCATTGATATAAATACATGTATTGAAAATCGGTTTTCAAAGAACTTTTTTTTTAACTTATATTACTGTTAACTCCCGTGATATTTTTGGTAAATGTTATCCCACTTATGATGATGATAAAAGATTGTTGAAACACTCTTAATTGATTGTTTAGTTCGAAACCAGCATAATTTGAAAGATGCAAAAGAGTTTCAATAATGTAAAATCAAAATTAGCTTCTACCGTTAACTGGTGAGTGTTCAAGACATTAATATCCTGTACAATTTAACTATAACAAAATAAATAATAAAGTTATCTATGTGAGAACTGCATTTCTATGAATGGAGAAATGTAGCAATATGAAGTGTTTGTACTTCCATATAGTTACATGTTTGATGATGCTGAAGTCGGAGGAAAATGTATCTGAACAGTAACGAATTCATACTAAATTAATTAAATTCTTTTATTGCAAAAAGACAGAAATAAATTTTTAACACAATATTTTTACACATAAGCATATACAGTTATTACCAATCGTTATTTTAATTGACAATACAGTGGATACCACAAACGTTTTTTTGAAAATTCAAGTAAGGGAAACGGAAGTTAAAAATAATTTTGAGGTTTTGTCTTCTTTTGCAAATAACCTACATATAGACAAAGTTGTTTGACAGAAAGTAGCACTCTATCCTACGAAGAAAAAAACAGCTTCATGTAACGTTCATCTTGAGAGTTCTGCATATGTAAATTGTGTGGTAACGGAAGTTAATATGATTCTGGTCTACTTCAATAAACCAGTATGATCCCATCATTGATACAGAATAATAATCATTGAATGGGCAAAACTAGAATGTTTTGTCGTGTTGCATGACAAATGTTTAATATTTTACATAAGTTAAGCCGATGATATTCAAAACATTATGCATTATAATAAATTAATTTTGTGTTCTTGCTTTGTTATGAGTTGGCCATATTTATAAAGCGATGGTCATTTCAGGGCTAAAAGAAGCATATATTTTACAGAATTGAAGTTACGAGTGCAATCATTAAAATAATGCACTTCTGTACAAAAACAACAACATATAGATCTTATATAATTAGTTTGTAGCATTTTCTAACATATTTCCACCGAGATTATTGTAATTATTTAACCGGGATAAAAATTGGATCCGCTTTGTGAGCCCTTTGTACGTTTTGTACGTCAGTCTATAGAAGACGAACAGAGAGGCGTACGCCTCATCAATCTGCGATTAACCCCACTTAAAACAGATTAGAGAACAAATTGACTTAGACTGACGGTTAACAGTAATTGGTATGTGTAAGGATACAGTTTTCGGATGAACGCGAGCAAGGTGAGTGCTAGATGGTACCACGAATTTCTCAGCGACGACCAAAATTTCCAGCGACTGATGTCATCATCCAGATTTCTGTAGCGTTAAGACAAAAAAAGGCGATGCGTTCCTAGGCAGGATAGTCACCCAGGGTGAAACTTGTCTATGGAATTATGACCCAGGAATAAATGCCGACTCGTCTATTCGGAAAGCTACAGGAACACCACATCCGAAGATGGGTGTGACGATCAGGTGACAGGCACACGTGAGTCTTCTTAAGTGTTTAATCAAATTGATATATTTCGAAATGGTTACAATAAGTACAGAAAGTAAAAAAATAAATGGGTCCAACGCCACACGAAATGTGTTTGCACTAGCGGAAATTACGTAGAGGCGGCGCTGCACGCGAAGTCATTTATGACGTAAGTTAACCCCAGTTTTTGTGCTCCGTGTTTCAGTCAGTGATGTGTTTAATTAGTATGTAGATCGTTTAATATACCTTGTATTTCTACGAATATTTAGGAATAATATAAAAATATGGCACTAAGCTATGTTATTTGCATTTACTAAATGTACAACAGATATCTCTTTACTTCTGCGACAACCCTCAAACTTATTCAAAGATAACATGTTTTATTTGAATTATCATTCTTTTCACACGTTTCTGATAAATTTAATTTCTATATTATATTTTGAATGATACATATGTCATATCTACAACTAATATTTTTAATTTTCAAAGATGTTTATATATTATATATACTAATTGAATTTGGCAAAATAATGTAGTCATGTTTTGCATGATTAACAAAATGGTCGCGTCTTGAGGATTACGGGCCCTTATTTATAGTTTTAAATCGGCTTATGTCGGATGATATTATGAAAACATGAAAGCTATCCATGTAACGCCATTAAATCCAACGGGTTTGCTTATAAACGATCAAGTTTCTTAGTTTCAAATTGTACTATTCATTTACATTCTAACAGTGCTGAAGTATGACGTCTAACGTTGAAACGAAAGAATTTAAAGAAGAAAGCCAGAGTTTCGTTCTAAAGAAAATTGGCAAGTATTGGATCCTAAAAACAAATACTTCCTCAAAACGTCTTGCATTTCTTGATGATGCTAAGTATGTTAAAATTGAGGAAAACATTCTAATAGCAGATGAACGATTATTTGAAATACACAAAAATGAAAAAGGTGAACATTTATTTCGACATCTTGAAGATGTTGCCTGCGAAACCTATTTTTCTGTGACCGAAAGCTCACCAAAAACATTCTGGAAAAAAATTGATCCTCCGGAAGCACCAATAAAGACAAACAAAGACAATAGTGAAATGGATCTTTATGATTATTCTAAAAATGAACAAGTCCAAATTCAGCATGAAAAACCAAGTGAACGTCGTGTTAATGAAGATTATTATGAGGAAATTGATTTCAATGAAGGTGCAACAGGACATTTCGAATTAGAACACTATTCCTTGCCTAAGACCGATAATGGAATTCAGCATTTGGACACACAACCAAATTCTTCTGCTGACACTAATAGCTGTCATGACGATGATTTAAACATTGGATCTGTAAGTGAATTAATGATTGGATCAGACAGTGATTTAAACATTGGGTCTGCAGCTGAAATGATGGAAGGACACGAGAAGTATGAACCCTTGGAGTTTGGAAGTACGGAAGTAGATAGTGTCATTGATGTTGTAGACATGACACAAAACCCATCTGGAGGTATTTGGTTTTCTATAATTGTGAATATTACAATCTTAACTGCAGGAATATAATGGTACGACTCGTAATGCATGATTTTTTTGAGTATTGAGTGTTACATATGATAATTGTAATCTGTTCGTTACCAACACCATCTATCAAAACATTCCTACATGCATATCCAGGCTTTCTTTTATAATAAAGTGTATGCCAACTGTTGAATCAAAATGCTGGAATTTGACTGTCGATATATAAAATGATGCAGTCATCTGATTTATGATCCTAAATCTTTTTATCGTTTATAAGATTTATCACATTGTAGAGTTTACTTTACGGAAAATGGCTTTCTTACTTTTTATATAGAAAACACCAATCAGGATCTATTTTATTAAAATTCAGGCTTTCGATTTAGAACTAGAAAGATTGACGGGATCTAAATGACTCGAGTCCATACTAAATATCTGAAATAGATTTGTCTGAACATATTTATTTTATGATTTTTCGGGAGCATTTCAATATAAGTACTGAATGAATGAATAGTAACTGTGCATGTAATGGTCAGGCGGAATAAATGTGGCGGTTGATAAAGGTCATAAACCGGTCGCTTGGGAAAATAATATTTATAAATAGGAAACGAAGCCAAATTTTTCCATTGACAAGTTTTCATTGATTTGCATGCTTTCGTAGAAATAAGTTTTTGTTGTTTTTTATCGTTATAGATGATGAGTTTCATGTTATCATTGAGCCCTCAGATCTGACAAAGATGTGTGGTATGGAAGGGGAGATGACGCTATCAATAAAATATAATGCTCTCATTTTCAAAGATATAAACAATGCAAATTACATGTTTCCGTTTCCTTTGATAAGACGTTTTGGGACCTACGGATCATCTTTCTATTTTGAAGTTGGTCGAAAATGTCCGTATGGAGCCGGAGGTGTGTATTGTACAACACTGAAAGCAAATCAAATTAAGAAAAAGTGTTTGAAAGAAATTAGAGAAAAAAATCGAATCCCTAAAGAGAGTCCAACACGGAAAAATTGAAAATGGTGTTGGCTCGATTTTATTGAGCCTGTTCATAAAAACTAATAAGACATAAGAATAACATGAAAAATGAATTACGTTATGAGACACTGTTTTCAAGTGGAAAAAAAGGCGTATAATGTTTTCAAGCTAGGTGGTCATTTTGAAAATAATCATATATATGTAACAAACAAAAATTAATTCGTTAGTGCCAAATGTCTTCAAGATCCATCAACGGTGGGTTTTGATTATAGACCTTTGACTCTTTTGACAAAAAGGAATTATAAAGGAAAAAAGTCCGCCTTTTTAAATTTATCAATTGTTTTCTATGAAACACAGCACGAATTAATAAAATAATGCATGTCAAAAACTATCAATTTCCAAGTACACATGGATGTGTACTTTAAGATATTTTAGATCTTTATTCTATATACCCGTTATTTACATTTTATCTTATAGAAGCATCGGCAAATCAATAAAACTTATTTTATTTTCTGGGCTAAATTACTGGATTTAATACATTCGATGTTTTGACCCAAAAAACGCATGCTTCACAACGTCTACATATTGCAATTGTAATTCTTAGTGGCAAACATTAACTAGACAATATATTTATTTTATAGATAGATAAAATATTCTAGATCATTGTTGAACATTCAGTAAAACAAACCGACTCTAAATTTAGGTTAATTTATGTATTTAGCATCGGTCAATCTGAGCGCATCCTTAACATCACGTACTTTCTATCAACCAATCATGTAGTGGCATCATCCTTTCTACCGCCTCCGTGGTCGAGGGTTAGAGTCGATGACTTCTAATCCAGTTAACTCCATGGCGTGGGTTCGATCCCCGGGAGATGCTTTGGTAGTTTAGCGCGGAGGAAGGTAGTCTAGTACTGGTGTAACTCTCCAGGAACGATGGTAAGGAAACTACCCGCTTATATGACTGAAATACTGTTGAAAAAGGCGTAAAATGAAACAAACAAACAAACCATCATCCTTTCTGGTAAAATTTTAAGTAAAGAGCACTCATCATCTGCTCTGTTTAATTTTACCATCACCTCCCATTTTCCTTCTCCTCCATGCGTTTTTTCCATCGGTTATCGGTTATCAATATTCAATATTAATTTTGACATAAAAGTTTTGACAGAAAAAGCTTTTACTTCATTTACTTAGATAAGTATGCAATTGTTATGTTGTATCCGCATATTATTGTTAGGCAGTATTTTTCACCCAGATGGTATTTTTGATTAATATATTTATGGGAATATTATTTTATATGTATATAATTTTGTTGTTTTCGGAAAAATAAATTTGTCCGTTTACAACCAATTATGATTTTGCTTATGAATTTTCCCATACACAGTCCACAGTGTCATTGCTACGTTATAAACAGATGCACAAACAAGTAAGTATGCAATGTCCATTTAACATTTTAACGTCATTATTCCTCAAAATAACGATGTCGTTTGACCCGGCGTAATTTTGCTCTGGTTATATATATCGAGAGTAAAATTTAAACGAACGACTTTTTTGAATTGCTTTATAGCCGAAGTTTTAGTGTTTTTGATATATATAGAGAATATTGAATGAGTGTAAGTTCAATACTGAATTTATTGCACGAGTTGAACAAAATTATATTATGCGAGCCTCTTGGAAGCATAATATTATTTTATTCAACGAATGTAATAAATTCAGTAATGAACTTACACGTATTTAATATTCTATTTATCACATACCCAAAAAAAAGACTGTTTAAAGTGAAATATGAGTCATTTTTCATTGACGCGCCTATAGTATAAGGCTAACATTTAGCGCGTCTGTATAACGCTAATGAGGTCACCTCAAAATATATTCACGGCCGTACAATACCATATTTGCGGAGTCGCAAAATCGGCATGGGTGTGAGATAAATATATCTTTTTACATTATATATGAATGCATTATAATCAATGAACATATTTGGAGAGAGGTGATACCCCGGAAGCATTAATCACAACAAAATATCATGAAAATAACAGGTTCGGTTTTATTGGTTTGATTGAGTCTGCACACAAGGGATAATAAAAAGGTGCCATATCCATCACGTCCCTAGCGCCGGCTGGAGCGGTATTTTATGTACTTAATGTATCAATGATCCGGTAGGTCCAGAAAAATATATCACACTGAAGTATCATCAAAGTTTTATCGATTTCAATATCAAAATACAAAAAAAAACTACCTACATTGTATAACGGACATACAGGCTGGCCTAGTTCTATACTGGCGGTGGCAAAGACTATTTTTGGTTTAAGAAGATTGAGTGTGAAGTGCCAAACATTTTGTTTTCAATTAAGACGCTTTTGTTACAATATAGAAAACTGGCGTTGATATAAATACAAATATCCGCTGAGATTTGTTTATTTTATGAATACAAACCATTTGAATAGCAATTATTTTGTACATACTTGTGAATGTCAAATCCATAACTTCATTTACAAAATTGTTAACAAAACATCACTTTTGAGACCATTTACAAAATCAACTGTCATTTTAATGTAGACTGTTTTTCAATTATTCATTATCCTGAACAAAACTTTTCAATGTTCGAGTTAGTTTTGGCTCCTCCTTTTGCACATATTCAGAAAGGATCATTATTATGAGATTTTTTTGACGGGTGATATGGCTCTTTATAATACTGGACGTTTGTGTCTTCCCATTTCATTGGATAATCGTGACGTATATACGAGGGTTGTCCCAATATTCTGTGACAAAATTGTTTAAAAGCTAAATTAACTAGTTACGAATTAGATATTTTGATGTCATAAAAACCCATATTATGGAAACATTTTCACAAATTAACATAGAAAAATATCAACAAACAACCAAAATATGCCATAAATACCATGACATCTATTTGAATCGCGGCGCACGTCAAAAGTCAAAATCGGCGTCAAATCTATATATAAAGTGCATATCTCAATTATTTTCCATAGCATTCAACGCATAGACGGTGCAGTTATACTCATTAATCATCAATTACGGACTGATACTATGTAGTTTTTTGTCTTTGTTGAATGTTTGGACAGCATACACTATTTTCTTGCTAGAAGCGAACTTCCGGTCTTGTTGCACTTGTTTAAACTGTGCGAAATAGGCGACCGAGATCGGTCTTCCTATTCGTTTTTTCCCTATTTTCGCTTTCTGAAGTACAGGACTCTGGTTTTGTTCATATCTTTTGTAAACAAATGCCCGGAATATGTTTTTTACTGTTCTATCGGGTACATTAGTTGAAAAATCTTAACAGTCATCTTGAAATACTAACGAACCACCTGATATCTGTTCGCTGCGCCGCAAATTCTTCTGACGTCGCCATTTTAACTTTCCTATTTTCTATGAGACATTTTCATTTTTCCGTACGTCGTTCGTTTCTTAAGTTATTTAATTGAAATTTTCTACGATGATGTCAACATAACATCTAAGATAGTCAATGTGATATTGTGCAGACATATCATCAGATATTTGAAATATACGTTATTTATTTAAGCCTATTCTTAACAAAATGAAAATAATTTGACGTGCGCCGGGAACTCAAACCAATGTCGTTAATATTGAAAAATTTGAAGTAACTCGAGTAGATGTTCCGTCAATGATTTATTGTTATGTAAAATAATAAACTTATAGGTTATATGTGTGATTTAATATCTATTGGCGTTAAAAATGAACCGTCTGTAAGATTTGTCACGAACTTTTGGGACAACCCTCGTATTATAGTTTTATATACACGGCTGCTGTCAATGTATGAAGAAATCTCACTTTCTGTCTAAAAAATTGAAGTTTGTTTTATTACAAATTCGTTTTAAATATTCCTAGCGGCTCGAGTTATATTTTCAAACAACCGTTTATATAGGGCCAGACAACCTGTCAAAAAGCGTTATAACTAAAATATAAAGAGTTGTTGAATATAAAACTAGACAAATTAATAATATAGCAAACTTTTTTTATTTAAGACAAAAAATAAATAACTTCATGATTCAACAACAGCCGTGTATATAGTTTATATAAAATATCACGAGTATCCAACGAAAAGCGACGTTAAAAACGTGTAGTATTAAAAGATATATCTAATGCTTCTTTTTTTCTGTACACCTTTCTAAGTTAAACATTCTGTTTTATCACATCTTCTATTTCGGTGAGCATTAACATTACGTAAATAAAGACAAATACATTGGCTGGGTATACTAGCAGGTGATGTTGGACAAGTTTTCCCATTTCAAAAATATGTTTTGAACGGGTTAAAATTTACAGTTTAGGAAAAATCCGCGAAAATGTTGTTTTCTGTTCGTTTGTTTGATGTTTCTGTTGTTTAAGTTTGAAAATAAATAGAGGGATTGTTTAAAATACATTAAAACAATCATTTAGGATCACGCTTACCTAACTTTTACCAAGTGTTTTTTTTTTAAATAATTTTAAAGGCGTCCAAGCTAGCCCGATGGAACAGAAAACGCTGTCGTTGTAAACAGAAATGTATTTACCAGAATGTCGATGAGACAGAGAGATGCTGAAAGTAACATTTTTACAGACACTCGGGTAACATCAATCAATATTGAAGAATATTATAAAATGATCACGTTGCTTATCAATATAATTTATACAACACTGTCATCTATCATATAACATGGGTAATTTGTAATTCATGGTGACAGTTATCTAAAAAGGCTAATTAGTGAAGTTCTGCAAAAAACATTTAAACGTGTGTACCTGGAAATGTGAAAGATCTCGGTAAGGGTGGCTTACGAACAGATTAAATGGATGTAGACCTATATTCTGGTTGCTTATATTCCGTTGCTCATTTGGGATGAAGTGATATTACACCAACATCTTCGCCTAGAGGATATATTCATTAAAATTCAAGTTATTGTTGACAGACTTAGAGAAGACAAGTGAAGTCTGTTTATGTGGGTGAAATACTTACAAAGCAAATTTTATAAAATGCCCTAAACTGACAAAAGAAAAACATGTGTATATGTTGTATTCCAGAGATGTGAAAATCATTAAAAATAGGTCGTATAACGCAAATACTTCACGTAAAATACAATATCCACTCAGTGATCTCCCCTTTAAACTTCGGCGTAGTTTACATATAAAGTAAGTAACCGCTGTTATGAGTTTGATGAAACTATATGTACGACCGTGCAATACCGTATTAATGGAGTCGCAAAAGAGGCACACGTGTGTGATAAATGAACATAATTCACTGATCACCACTGTATTTTAGATCTTTCATTGAGCTTTTACCAGCCGTATTTTACATGAAGTTACTCTTGATATATATTTTTAATGTGAACAAAATTGGTAATTGGTTGACTTCGCACATGATTTTGGCATCATTTTAAAGCAGAAGCTTTGAAACATAGCATAGTTTACACAAACACTAGAATCACGAGCTGAATTAGAAAATATACTTCATATTGCGTTACATTCAAACATACATTTGTTTGTACGTTAATATAATTTTCATTGCATTTAAATGTGCTTTTTCGCATACGAACGATTATGTTATGATATGATGGCACTTTTCATTCCAACTGTAGAAAAATCTTTTCTATACATTCTGTCAATATAGTTTTTTTTCCTTCTTATTCCACCGTCATAACGTCATATAAAAATGTATTTAATTTTTAGTAACTAACTCTATACGAAAAGGGAAGTAAATAAATATGATTTATGAAATTGTAATTTGCTTTGCAATCGACTATTATGTGTTAAACAAAGAAAAGTTTGGTACATGTTTTTGTTTTTTTAAGTTATCGAGCTCTTCATCAGTAAAGATGATACGTGATAACATTTTAGTTAAAGCATAAAGTTTTAAGATATTTTCAATGCTCAAAATATTTTTGAAAAAAAAAATATATTAAGGAGTTGTTTAAAATTTTGTTAATTCGAACGTGATATTCAGATATATAAAGGTATTTATCAATTCATTTTATAAGTTAATTGACATTAATAATATAATTATAGAAGATATTTAAGTTGTTAATGTATGATATTTGTTGAGGTGGGTGGGTAGGGGGATATATAAGGCCTTTGCTATAGAAGGGTAAAACTCAGTATATGCAATTGGATTTCATCCGTGTTAACAATTATTACAACTATCTATTACAACGAATTTTCTCCAATATATGATTATGTGTTTCCCTGTGTTAGCAGGACTTATATAAATAATTATAACACTTTGGAAAATTTTGTACCCTCTCAAAAGATTATGAAATAAAATTATAGCTTTGTACCAGTCCATTATTTCAACCGTATGTGCAGCTAGAGTCAAACAACATCCTTGACAAAAATCAAACAAACAACAACAACAAAAACAAAAAAGAACACACACATAAAAACACCTCCACACCACAAAGAAAAACAACAACAACACAAAACTTTTGCTTTCCTTTTAAGCGATCAAATTTCTAATTTCCAATTATATTATTCATTTACATTCTCACAGTGCTGAAGTATGACGTCTAACGATGAAACGAAAGAATTTAAAGAAGAAAGTCAGAGTTTCGCTCTAAACAAAGTCGGCAAGTATTGGATCCTAAAAACAAAAACTTCCTCAAAACGTCTTGCATTTCTTGACGATGCAAAGTATGTTAGAATTGACGATAACATTCTAATAGCAGATGAACGATTATTTGAAATACACAAAAATGAAAAGGGTGAATATTTATTTCGACATCTTGAAGATGTTGCCTGCGAGATCTATTTTACTGTGACTGAAAGCTCAGCAAAAACATTCTGGAAAAAAATTGATCCCCCAGAACCAATAAAGACTAACAAAGAAAATAGTGAAATGGATGTTTATGATTATGCTGAAAATGAACAAGTCCCAATTCAGTATGAAGAACCAAGTGCACGTCCTGTGAAAGACGATAATTATGAGGAAATTAATTTTGATGAAGGTAAACCAGGACATTCTAAGTTAGTAAACGATTCTTTGTCTATGGACGATAAGAAAATGCAGCATTTGAACATACAAACAACTTCTTCTGCTGACACTAAAAGCTGTAACGACGATTTAAACATTGGATCTGTCGATGAATTAAATAATGGACCTGACGATGATTTAGACAGTGGGTCTGCAGCCGAAATGATGGAAGGACAAGAGAAGTATAATCCTTTGGAGGTTGGAAGTACGGAAGAAGATAGTGCCATTTTTTATGTAGACCTGAGAGGTAATTTTTGCTTTTTCTAGAATAACGAATATTACAGGTATAAGCGCTGTAGAGGTAATTTTGCTTTTTCTAGAATAACGAATATTACAGATATAAGCGCTGAAGAGGTAATTCAACTTTTTCTAAAATTACGAATATTACAGATAATAGTAGTCTAGTCAATATACCCTAATTTGGGGGTCAACCTAGAACTAATTGCAAAAGTTTTAAAAGTTTGTTTTTCTGAAACTACTATATATGTACAATTATCCATAAAAAGTCCCGAACTTTTGCTGCTGCCATTGCTGAGAAAATGATGCCTGAATTACTTGGTACCTTGGATTTCATGAAAAATATACAAAATCAGGATGTCAGTTTACATATCAATATTTATTGTAAATTTTAAAATTGTTTTAAGTAATTATCATTACAATATCAAATAATAAATAACAAAATCATAGTGTCAACGAATAATAATAAAATTATCATATGATTAGTAACTTTTTACTTAAACTGCAAAATAATATTACCCCACCCACTAATGCATTTTACAAAAGTATAACAAATGTATTCCAGAAATAATTCCCGACAACATCATTAAAGTAAATAAGATTTTGACAGTCATTTCATCAAACAAAACATATTAAATCCATTTTATGGTTCAAAGGAACGTTTTTAACACTAAAAAATGTAATTATAAGGTATGAGCCTCTGATGATGTTCGACTGCTGCCGTGCTGGCGCTATCATAGCAACGTCCAACATTTATTTACTCATGGTTACAGGTATTGTTGCAGAATAGATTTTGTTTGGTTGGTTGGTTTTATGGCGCACAAACACAAATTTGGCTATGTGCGCCGAAATAGGAAAGATAAGTTGGCTAACCTCGGGTGTTAAAACTTAAAGCAACACCAGATAACCTCACCTGCTTGTGCATAGAGATGTGCATAGACTCCAGCAATTCGAACTAATTTAGTTGTCCATTACAATCACGAAGAGATAAACAGTGGCTGTATTGCAGGATTGTGTAATAAGTAATTGATAAAATAATTAATTGAATCGAGAATTATATTTTGTTTGTGGTTACCGTCTCACCAACACTATAAAAGTAACATGGCGTCTTTTAAGATAACCATGGAAATGATGACTACAGGGACCTCGCCGTGCATTATTTCAGGCACAAACGGACGCCTGGGTAGAACAAGCTAGCTGAATAGTCGCCTCACATGAAAGAATGTGGCCCTTATATGGCTCAAAGTTAAAACATACATTGGTGAGAGGTTTATGGTTTAAAGCCAACGACCTTATCCACTCCCCGCCCCACAAGAAGATAGTAAATCAGTTAATGAAACGTTTCAATTTTATAATTAAAGATGTTTTTACCCTTTATTAGTGGTTGTTTGCATATATAGCCTGAGCTGTTAGGCGTCAGGTTTATATTATTAATCTTAAATGCACCATGTTTCCTTGAGAAAAAAAAAAAGAAAAAAACATTTGTTCATTAATTGTGTTTATATATAGTTTATATAAATTAACGATTACCTTATCCTTGCTATACTAACAAAAATTGCCAAGTTTAAACTTAAAATATATTAGCTCAGCAATCTCAAATAAACTTACACTAATAGTATAACAAGTATATTCACTGTCTATAAAAATGGGGGTTACTTTTTCCCCACCCCTTTACAAAATATCAAAAATACAAAATTATTAAAGATTACAATTTTTCAAAAATGCAAATAAAGATATAATTTATGTTTGATTTCATTTAAATAGTACCAGTTTAAATTTACACATGTCAATATTCATTTCTATTTGGTTGAGTAACGATTGGCATACACAGAGTATACTAACTTATTTACCCATGCAAGTCAAATTGAATTCACCAGAGCACAGCTCAGCCACGGCGCCATTCCTGTGCAGGATATGTACTAAATGCCTTTGCTTTCCTCCGTACATGCCAGAGTAGTGGTATAATGCAAATGACTGTAGAAAGATTTCATGATCAAACACAACAAAAGTGACATTCACCTTGCTTGAATCGGCCGGTTTACAGCCCAACGCCAATCTGACTGATGTTTTCTATCTTATTGTGTTTACATGTAGATCTTATTGCCAGTAACTCATTTTCAACTTTTTGCCGATTTGGATTTTCTAATCAGGTTATTTTAGCAAACTTACAATGAATTATTTACGTCACCCATAATTTGATTTTGCCTTAGAAAAATAATTAAGTATAGATTAAGAATATGATTTCTGCGAAACATTAGATTCTATCAATCTTGGTATCGAGGCGTTAAATCCAGGCCATTTATCTAAATGACACTAAAAAGTGTCAAAGGGCATCGTCATTTTTGTTCAAATGTAATGTCTCGAAATCGTGTCAATCGCATAACTGTTAACACGTGTCTGGTTTCCAGCGATTAAAAATATAAATCCTCCATTTTCGTCAACGCAAAAGCGAGCACTGATTGGCTGATTAAAATGTCAGATAAGCGTGACGTTGTTTTGGTCATCGTCAGATCTACAAATAAACATAAGAAGATCTAATCTTTAGAGCCATACGGTTAGCTCAGTAGGTAGAACGTTAGACTGTGACCTACACAGACCTGGGTTGATTTCCAGGACTGTGTAGGTCACCTACGTTGCGATTGATCATGAGTAATTCGCACTGTACATCTGTTCTGGTACAGAAGTTACAATTCATTGAGTAAATGAAGGCAATAGTACTGGTAAAATACTTGAGTTTCCTCAGGAATGATGCGGTGGCTAAACTGTGTTCTGGTAAATTCAAATATTATTACATTGCTATTTTATTAAAGTGTTAATGATTGTTGACTTAATTAAAAAACGGTCGTGATTCAAAATAAGACAAAGTTTGATGACTATGAGTTTGTTAATTTTATTATCTCGCAATTTACAACAAATTGAAAAGCTAGCAGTATGATCTTGCCATTATTATATTTGGCAATGACACATAGAAATTCCTAGACAGTCATCTTGAATTTTACTTGTGTTCCTACAATGATAAAACTTTATTAAACGCGAAAAATAAATCAAAATAGAGTAACAAAAATAATAAACCAAATGTTAGATTTATGTTCCGTATTTGCTTCCGTAGTACAAAATGTCGTCAAAAACTGAAGTACCATTATCGATTCATTCTTTTTGTTTCGTATAAATAATAAATAAATAACAAAATGCAAATGAAGAAAATTAAATTATACGCGTGTAGGTTTTTTTTGCATGCAATTTCAAAGTATTTTTATTTTTAGAATTATTTTTTTACAATGACGTAAGCATGAACTATTCGCTGATTTCTTTATTGTTTAAACGTTATCGTCGAAAGATTTGTGATATAAACATCTGAAAAATATTGGTTATATATAAACCTTCCTAGATTTTAATTAAAAACCTTGTACTTTACCCCCAAACGGTTCAGAAGTTCCAAAACGAAGGTTGTTGACAGCCGTTTTAGATTCAATAAGGGCGCCGCCATACTTATTTCCGTGACGTCACAATGTGCGTGAAATCTACTGGTATGGTAGCGTAGTTGGAGCAAGTTTTAAAATGGAAAAAATCGCTACATAAAACCGCTTTCATCTTTTTAATTGCAAATGCAAAAATTCGGGACTTTTTATGGTAAGCACTTAAGATTAAGTTCTTTCGTAAGGTGTTGATAAAAATTCTTTTGCAATTAGTTCTAGGTGTATCTTTATATTGACTGGCCTATAGCGCAAATTTTGGCAGGAATATAAAAATACGACCGTGCATACCCTCGCCTTATCAAAACGGTCTTATATCCAGAAATTCTTTCAATATAATTTCTTGTACGATGGAATCTATCTGACGATTTTTAAAATGATACAATGATCTGGTTTATGATCCTGTGTATTTTGAACGATTGTTTTGTTTTTCATATTATAGAGTTTAAAATCGTTCAACACGATAATTACTGTTGTGTTTGTGGTATTTTTTCTTTGGACATTTTTTGCTTTTAACTTAGTTGGTTCGATATCCCAACTTGAATACTGTTGAATCAACCTTAGTATTGAAAGCTGATAGTATCTTAAACGCTTTTTAAATATGTCGTTTGATGTCTTATCTGTGATATGCATGACTTTATAATCTCTACTTCTCTTTTTAAATTCTATGTATTTAGTTCCACCCATTGATTTCTCGTGTAGGACACACGCTTTCATTTACTACGGGTCATATAAGCTTTTCATGGAATAACCCGAAAGTGTTATATTAAAGGTTCTATGATAACAACCGTGTGAACTCATCTGCGGATGTTTATAAAAACAAAATGTCACCATTTACATAGTAAAATGTTGAATTCTGCTTCAGCTGGTGTTAGGGGCGTGTACGATAGTTTGCACTTTACAGCACCGTACATGAACAGGTTTTATCTAGCCAAGCCTGCAACATTTTCAATTTTGGCCTTTTGGACTTTCTTTAGGAAGTCCTCTTTTTCCTTTTTTACATTAAAGTTTAAGGAAAATGTATTTGCCCTGTCCTGTTTTTGTTCGGGGTCGCCTTGGCTCCTTGCCACTGGTTCTTGCTGCTGGGTCATATGGGGGTTGCGTTCATTGAACGCCGCCTTTCCTTTTTGATCTTGTTTATCATATTCTTTTTTATTGAAATATTTTTTTAAACAATCAATCTGACATTGATGGTATGATATGGCCCATTGCCGCAAGTGAATAAATGAGCAAAACGAGACGCGAAGATTAAGCACACTATTTATTTTAACTTAACGTTGTTCATTGAAGCGCCAGCAGGAATGGAATAAAAAGAATTTATTTTATCTCGTTGCTTATTTCTTACATTTTGAATTTTTAAAAAATCAGCAGTACCTAATTCTGTCATATAGGTTACAATTATGGGACGATAGATTGGTATGATTTGAATTTTCCACGCTGAAAATATTAAATTGATTTGTTTAGACAAAACCATTTTATAATTCTAATACAAGTCAATGAATGGGTAATCTTATGAAAGAAAATGAAGCCAAGAGTTTACGTCGATAAGTTTTCATTGATTTTATTCGTTTTGTAGAAATCATTTCTTGTAGCTTTTTTATCATTCTAGAGCATGAACATGATGAGTTTCAAGTTAACATTGAACCTTCAGATCTAACAAAGATTTGTGCTATGGAAGGAGAGATGACGCTATCGATAAAAGATACGGCATTTATTTTCAAAGATATTAACACGGGAAAAGAAAAGTACAGGTTTCCGTTTCCTTGGATAAGACGTTTCTGGAAAGACGATTCAAGTTTCGGTTTTGAAGCAGGTCGAAAATGTCCGAACGGAGCCGGAAATGTGATCTGTACAACTCCGGAAGCAAACCAAATTCACGATAAGTGTGTTAAAGTAATGGAAGATAATAAGCAAGTAAGAAATCAAGTAAGAAATGAGAATATCATAACAAAAATGTTCCGCCGATTGACCTCACGGTTTTGAATTGTTTAATATATACGTGAAGTTAACTGTAACAGCAGTAAAAGCAATATTACTGTATATTTGTTGAAAATATGGACAGTAACAAAAAGAATACATTTGTTATGAATGTCTTAAAAACTGCTTTCACGGTCTGTTTTATGATTTTTATTCAGATATTGAATATATATTTTTAAAAACGGACGCTGCAACGTGACTTTTGAACATAATAAAGAGTTGTTATCATGTACGTATACTTGGTTGATTTTACTACATTTATCCAATGGCAGAAAACTGTCGGATGCTCAAATATTTCCTATTCTTACTCTCAGTGATTTTTAAAAAAACAATTTTCAAAACAATTGTGGCTCTCTAAAGGAGAAAATATAGCATGATAAATCAGAAAATTGGGAAAACCTGAAATAAGATTTCAACAACTGAAAATAGAATTTACACACACATGTTTCTAAAATTTTCAACGTCCATTTAATTCAACATGCATGGTACTTAGCAGAGGCTATCTATAGTGATGGTGTCAACAAAATTTCTCAATTAGCTGAAACATGTCAGCTGTTGTTAAGTCATGGTTCTGGTGTACAATGTGCACAGGTTATTTCAGGGGCAAATATAGCATGGGGGATATATCCTTTTTTGGTCGGGGGTGGGGAACATGCTTTATTCGGTTGTTAAATATAGTGGAAAAATCACTGACTCCAGACACTGACACTGAAAAAAGCGTAAGAAGTAGTTTTCCCATAGGATAACATGAATTCAAGGATAGCCGTTTTTTTAAAATTTTGAGTATGGTAAATTTTGATTTTGTTACTTCTATTTCCTGCTGGCGGGCGGTATTATATTGATATTTTATTATCAGATTCATGAATTTAAATATAAGAATAATTTTTTTGTCAGGAAAATATTTTGGAAGATGAACATGGACGAAATATCGAGTTAAAAATTCAGAGTACGAAAATGACATTCTTTATGAGTACTATTCATTGAATAATAATGAAAATGAAAAGTATTTGTAACTGCTAACAATTTGACCTTAAAATTGAGTGTTAATCAGTGTAAATTAAAGAAAATTCTAGCTTTATTTAATTTTACCCATGAAATATGGTGATTTATTATATACTTATAAATGAAATATTGAGAAATATTGATGAAATAAAATGCGTATTTTCATTTTCCGTATTTTCACTGTAAAAATTTATTTTGAAATCACTGCAGTGAAACATATTTTCCGTATTTTCACTGGTGTCTTGCCGGACTACTTTCTTTTAAATTCTGCCAGTATACAAAATTTAAAGGAAAGTCTTTTACATTTTAATGTCAAAAAAGAGAAAAATGTATATAATAAACAGAAAATTCAAGTTTTTTCTATAAATATATGATTTATTTTCATCTTGTGGCATGAAAATTACCATATTTCACTCGTGGCTACCGCCACTCATGAAATATTTATTTTCATACCACTCGATGAAAATAAATCATGTATTTATAGAAAAAACTTGAATATCCTCTATATATCAGTCAAATATATTTCATATTTTTTTAAAAATAAATATGAGATATAAATATGAAAGTGGGCGGAGTCAAAACTTATATTCATTTCATGGGGACTTCTTTTGCCATTTTGTTTGAAAAATCTGATAAATACAATTATATATATATATTCCATATTTCACTCAAACGAAAAAAACATCCTCTTATTATTACATTTGCCACACACATACTATCAGAAGATCAGAAATAAGCTATTTTATATGGAACGCAAAAGTTAAAAAAAGTTCATTGATGCTATAAAAACAACACAACACAAGCTTTGGTTGCTTTCATTGAACGCCGCCTTTCCTTGTTGAACATTATTTATCATATGTTCTTTATTTAGGTTAAGAAAAATTATCTCTAACAATGATGGTAATCATCTAACACACTCGTTTTCGGTCACGAAAACATTACATGTATTGATGGGGAGCTTCATACTTGAAACCCTTTGAATAAAGATTTTATCAACATTTCAAATATCAATGCAATAGAAAAGACACAATTTGAGGCTGAGACTTCCTCAAGTTGAAAACATTATCTTGATGAAACATGTCATTTCATGAATATGACAAAGATTGTATCACTCCTTTGGAAGTCAAAATATCATATCGAAACTAGACGTTAAAAATCAACAGGGTTAAATGGGATAAACCCATAGATTTTACATGACTGTGGTGATTATGTAGCACATGCAATAACATCTATAATAATTGAAAGTATTTACAGTGGTATATTTCCATAAAAAATACAAACTTCTTACGTCATTTTAATCGATAAAAAAGGAAATAAGCAAGATCCGCGGGCGATTAAACACACATCTTTCTAAAATAACAGAACAGAACAGAAATTTTATCAAGACTTGTACAAAGTACATCATCTACAATACATTATATTCACATATATTTTAGCTGCATGAAAATTTACAAACAAAATCTGGATATCACATTTTACGTATTCAATAGTTTCATGATAATAAATAAGTAGATAAACTAATAAACAAAAAAAAACAACATGCATATATCTATGAAAATAGATGTGCATTTACTGTATACTTTTATAAATAAATAAGATTAATTATGACTATTATTGGAATGGAAACAAATCATTTGGAGAATGAAAAAGTAGGAAATTATCTAATAGTATGTTGCAAGATACCCGTTTCTCAAATCAAGAAGAACATTTCATACGCAAAGTGTTTGGATATGAAACTTACTTTTCCACATACAATACACAGTCACGTGGAGTTGCCATATTTTTTTTATAATAATTTTCATGGTAAAGTTACTGCTATTGAAAATGATAATGATGGTAATTTAATTTAATTATTCTTGATTGTAAAATAAGTGAAAAAGATATAACGTTAGTAAATTTGTATAGACCAATTAAAGATACTCCTCAGTTTAATGACTCTATTTCAGACAAACTCTCTAAACATAAAAAATCTTTTTATTATACCTCAATATATCCTTCAACATGTTCAATAAGCCAGAAAATCTGTGTTCTGATTGAATATAACCCTCCTAGGATATATTTCTTATATCACCCTGTGGCACATAACACTTGCATAACTCCATATTCAGTACATTGTTAAGTTTCAATAGACTTTTTTACAATATGTGTTTTGGTGTAAGGGAGATAACACCTTCATATACCTCCGTATTTAATATTGTACTACTTAATTCATTTCGGTTCGCCTGCAGGTTATATACCAATTCTCGAGTTGACAATTTCTTCTTTCACCTTAAAAATATATTAGGATATTCTGCCTGGGAATTTAAATTAGTGCTTTTAACTAGGAAGTAAATTGCCAAAATTATTTACATTAGAATTAGCCAAATGATCGGGATAAAGTTCACTTTATTGATTCTAAATTAAATTTAACGATTTACTTTATTGATATCCTTTTTTCCACAATTAACTGAAACTTTTTCTCAGCGACCGAAACTTCTTCACAAAATTACTGCCAAGAAGTGAAGTTCATTTAAGCAGCATAATCTACGAGAAATAAATTTCAATTTGAACTTTAAAAAAATCACGAATTTAAAAAAAAATAGAAACATTATCATTATTTCATTTCTCAACAACTAAAACTCTGAAGCCAAAACTTATTGTTCGGATTATGAAAAAGAATTCTCCCAAAATGTTTGTATGGAATAAAATGGCAATAAATTGCCTTAAAGCGAGTGGCACAGACAGTCAAACCGAATCTACAATTTTCAAGTAATTTTGTTGTGATTAATGCTTAACTTTTTTTATTTCTTTTTGTCCTACTTGAATGTGTTGGCTGTAATCTAAGGATTGTGAGCTGTATGGTCCAGGTTCTGTCAGGGGCAAGTGGTGGTTTCCTGTATGGAAACATTTGATTGTTTATTACCCATACCGCATTACCCAGTTTTCGCTTTAAATGGTTCTGTTATCATATTGTAAGCTAAATTAAATTTAAACTTTAAACAAGTTGTATAATACAGTTTTCGATATGCGTATATGTGTCTATAACAGCGTCATTAATATTGTAATATGTTGTCAAGATGGAGAAGATAATAAAGCGATAGGTGTATTTCGAAGATACACAATAAACGTTATTTAAAATTCAAACGACATCCATCCATTCAAAGCGATTTTACATTGTATGAAACTATGAAGAATAACCCTATCTCTATGAACTCAGAAGTGAGTGACATAACAGATAAGACTTACTAACTTGAATGTTCATGTTAATTGCTCTATTCACAGTACACTTTGGTCGTTGTTTTAATAAAAAAGCTTTTTCGATTCACCTATTGCATTGATAACTTTTCTAGCATGACATAAAAATAACAAAACATAGCTTAAAGTCTAAATTGTGGAAAAAGGGGAAAATACAAAAAAATAAATAATGAAAGGGTGATCTTGATTTTTTGTTGAAATGTCACTTCAAAAGATCTAAAAAAAATACACTTTTTAACGAAAATACGGAAAACGCGTTTCTGTCATTGACAGCCTCGAAAAATACATTTATGTCAGCAAACGGCAGCATTTTCACTGCAACCGGGCATTTTTGGACGCCTGTAACATTCTCATAAAAAACAACATTTGGTTGATGTTTTGCATGCGCGACCCCTAGTGGTTATTATTTCTGTGTAAGACGAAATCTCTTAATTAATTTCAAACATCAGGTATTTTGGACCCAAAGACCAACCATTTTCACGGTTTTTCCAAGCTGTCATTTGAACCCACTCAAAACATATTTATGAAACTTGGAAACGAGCAAAAAATTACCGTATTACATCCCCAGTCAATGGACATGAAGTCTTGAGCAATAAAATTGACCTTATTTGCGTAATATGTGTGTAGTCTATGCATAATGAGGGTCCATCCGCCCGTAAGGAGTATGGACCCCGGACATGTCCCCAGTCATGCCCATAGGGAGTTAGTTTTGAAGAACAAGGTGGTGATAATTGGAGTATTAGCCAAAGATATGAATTTTGAGCCAAAATTAGGTCACTGTACGGCGGTCAACGAGAGCCTAAATGTACATTAACCTGAGACAATAATCAGATGATTTGCGAATTATGAATATACCAACTGAATTTATAAGCTATCTGTAGTAGTCAGTACATTTTAGATTGAAGCAATCTGTCACCACTTGCACCGGTTATACGATGTGTAAAGGGCGTATTATAAACGGGTAAGTAGCAAATTAATTAAAAAGCATTATTTGGTATTTTAAAATAGATAAATAAGTTAAAAATGTTCTTTCCAGTGATTTTAACGATATCTTGATAAACTTTTTCTTAAAATTTAAACATTTAAAACTTATGCATTGAAAACCAGCAATGTCAGGTGATTTAACTTCATTTATTGCACCTGAAATCTTCTTTAAAATAACATGAGGCGAAAAAACTAATTTATTTTTCGAATTCATTTCAGTAACAATACGAACATATTAAGCATATACAACAATAACAGAAAACCTGATATTTTATTTTTGACAGAAATAATTAATAAAATTTAATTTTCACAAAAATATATATTCTAGCTATGTAATATAAACATAATTGAATGCAACATATGAGCTTCACAATAAAAGAAATGCGTTATCCTGATAATTCGTAGAGACATACAGAAAATTTGTAAAATAAAACAAAGAGCTTTCAGAATGACCAAATTTGTTATAAAATGTTGACATGATATAATTAATAGTATAATAACTTTTGCAAAATATAGGAAAGCTAACGCTCGGACTTCCTTTTAATTCAGCTTCTTTCATCTTAATTTAAAAAGTACAAATTTAAGCGTTTCAGCAAAGTAATAATTTAATTATTTGTGTGGTTGGTTTTACGGCGAAGCAACACAGGATAGGTATTATGGCGCTAATCTCGGATACGGCAAAAAATGCGACTAACTTTGGGTGTAACAAATTGCAAAGCAACACCAGGGGCCAAGACCACCTCAACTGCATGAGCAAGGAGACGCATAATATCCAGTCATTCAAACCCACGTAGTCGCCTTTTATTGAGTATCGCTCAAGCCGGTGCTAAGGGGCGAGAGTGATATTGCTGCAATTTCTTGGCCTTAACCAATAAAGGCAAGCCCTAAGCCACATTGAATATTATTATTTGATAATACTTAAATATATCACTTATATGTACAAGTAATGAAATATCACGTTCGGACGCTGTGTTATTTGTTATAGTAAGTATAGAACAGTTTTATTAGAAACTGAGAAAAAAATATAATACTACCGTCCATCATTCTATCACTTGTTTAGGTTTTAATATCTTTTTTTTTTTGCAAATTGTTTCTAAGAAATTGTCTATATATATAACCCTGAGTTCCTATAAGACATGTGATACGTTATTGCATTACCTTGGGTAGATATTTAAGATATTTTCGGCAATGCATTAAATGTTTCAATATTGATCAAAATAACTAAATATGTATTGAAAACATTTCAATGTTTCCTTGCTAATATTGAAAGAAAGTAACGTTTCACAATGTGACTCCAGATGTCTTCTGTTTCTGCTTTTCCACCGCCTCCAATAGCCAGGTAATCACAGTTTCTTGTAGCGTTCCTGTAGCATCTCAACGCCTTTTGCCCGTCCAACATATGCCATTGTCCCTGAAATGAGGAATATTTTACACCGGGAACATTGCCCGGCACTAGGCCATACAAATACACATCGTCGACCCAGAAAAATGGTGTAACTTTAGAAGAGCTGAAAAACAACGGCATTAAGTCATTTGTAAATAAAATCATAAAGCCAGAACAATAATCTGTAGGATACGCATTTCTTCCTCTAAAATGTCTATGGTGGACAAACCATTTGCTATTGTTCTTTCTTATAATAGGCATTGTATCTTTATATATATGATTGCAAACAATCTGACGCTTGAGGGTAGAATATTTCGGCAATATGTCCACGAAAACCTTAAATAAATCAACTACTATGTCATCATCAATTTTCAAAATAAATTTTGCGTTTTTGCATCTCTCAGATAACCATTTGTATGCCATTACTCCTTTCAACGTCAAATTATGATAAGTATCGTTGAAGTTGCCCTGTAGAACGTCTTCATATTTTTCACTTTCATCACGTATCATTTTTTGTATTGTTTCAGACTTGGGTTTTCCTAAAAGAAACAGTATTCTAAACTCCCCAATTGTTGTATAAAATGTGTGGTTGGCCCAAGTTTGCCTTGCCAGTTGTCGCCTCGTAAAATGGTCACATGCTGTATGCACTATTATCAATGTAGACAAGTTTTTGACGGACGAGCAAAGGTTTTTGTTCTGCAATAGGTATGGAGCGCTAATTGTTGTTACTTGTTGCGATGCATTTATCATTTGTGAAAAGTTAGGTTTTAATGTGATTTTTGTAAAATCGTTTTCCGTATTTTCGGTAAAATGTGTATGTTTTAGATCACTTGAAGTTTTACTTGACAGCTTTGTTAAGTTAGTACCTTGCACAGCTATGTTTATCGTCAAAGTTCTTCCCGAACTCATAACAGGTTGCCTTTCACTACCTTCAATTATTCTCTCTGTTGAGATCCTCCGTATGTTTTCATTAAAATATGTACATTTTTGATTGGATAAGAAGTTCTGAAAACATTTTGTCCTATTAAGGACATGGTGTCGATGAATTGCTTCCCCGTTTAAAATAAATAATAAATATATCAAACCAATTACAAATATCACAAATACACTTTTTTGGCTTCTTCGTCCTTGACAACAAAGGAGTTTGCACAAACTTATAGGTCTTTTCTCCATAACTTGCTGTTTTATGTCCGTCCAATAAGGCTTTTAGTTGAAGCTAGTCAAAAAGAGACGAAGTTCTATGAACCATCTTCCCTTTGAAGCATGATATTCCAGCTAAAATGAAAAATATAAATAACAAAGTTGATATATTGATGAAAAGAGGGATTACACATTGCCCTTAAAACCTAACATGGTGTAATAACAATTTGATACTTTTCAGCGCACGATTCTTCTCCATGCATCTGGACTATAGGGTACCACTTAGTTCGTTTAACAAAATAGTGAGATCATTGAATTTGTAATGCATGGATCGCTGGGCATTAAGGATGATGGTCTGTCTGCAAGCTGAAAATGTTATTTTTAAAAAGAATTTACCATTCGTCATATAAAAGTTGAGTAATAATTAAAGTCACTTGCCTCCAGATTTGCATAATCTACTGAGTTACTAACGCAGTAGCCAATATAAATAAATAGGAGAGATATACATATGGTCACGTGTCACAACGGTAGAAAAATCCGGGATCCTGTACACCCGGGCTACATAATGAGTATGCGCTAATATTTCAAGCTGAAGTTTATATCCATATACTGATCATCACATATGTAATGTATTTATTCAATTATAATTATTAGTGCCAAAAAATACTGTAAATATTAAAACCAAAGCAGTTTATTTGTTTCACACGATGCTGGATTCCGCGCGTTCCAGATCACAGGTCACAATATTATCACGTAGTCTGTAGATAACCCGGATGAAAGAATTCCATTGTATAATAAAAGAAGGTATATCCTATTAGCAGAAAAGTTACTATTTCAACTACCAATTGATTCTTCTAAAACCTATAGCAGGTCGAGTCTAATTCATAGATCATAACGATATATGTTATCAACTAAAGTAAAATATTCAATCAATGAGATGAAATTGATATCCAGTAATAAATGATTAATTAGATGTATCATGTTAACTATTTATCACCAATACGTGACTATATGCTCGTGCTTAGAAATTATCAAGTAAGCGTGCAGAACGTCGATGGTTCTACTCAGTGGTGCTGGAAGTTTTCACTCCGGATCACGGTAGTAAGTCACACTGAATTTACCAGAGCGCAGTTCAGCCACCAAATCGTTCCTGGACAGACTGTCATACAGTTTACGAGTACTAGTTGCCGTCAGTTTTGCAAGGAACTGATAACTTCTGTACATGCCAGAGCAGAGGTACAGTGCGAATGACCGACCGTAGAAAGGATTTCAGGATCAATCACAACGAAAATGACCTGCAACGTCCGGGAATCGAACATAGGTCGCCCGGTTTACAGTCCATCACTCCACCCATTGCACTAAACCGGACAACTGGATGGTTCTACCTAGGTGCCTGCTCGTGCCTGAAATAATGCCCATGAACACGCCCTGTGTGGTCTTTTTCAACCAGTTAAGTTGGTAAGTAGACTCATGGTATATGCAGTATTGTGACTTTAGAATCAAACAAAAATGTATTATATGAACTATTTAGTATGAACTTATATTATGATTATACAATGTATGCTGCGACCATATTTTCATGTCTGTATCATTATGTTTTGGCCAATGGCATTGATTGAAAATGTAGATAACGATTGCCTAATAAAGTTGAGTTGAGGATAAACTTTTTTACTCTTCGATTTTTAGTATCTCTTGAACATTTTCAAAGGAATTAAAACTTTCTTTAGCCTTTGATGATATCGATCAGCTGAATAATTTATCCAAGGTTTTGGTTTGATCTGACAATTTGAAATTGTCGATTGTCGAAAAAAAACATTTTGTTTGAACATATACGTATAAATTGCATTATTCGTTTGTTCATTCGTTCGTTCGTTTATTCATTCATATGAACATCAAGATATGTTTCGTATTTTTCTTAAAAACATTTAAGGTTATTAACATTAAGAATATTTAAAGGTATATTGATCAAAATGTTCATGGCATAATTATAAAATGTGTCTTTAATATAATTTGTTTTAGGTCTTGTCCATAATACAATATCTCTTCGTGACCTAGATCTTAAGTTGTATATTTTGTTGTCGGATAAAGTCATCAGTTCTGTCATATAAGTCGGTGCCATGTTATTTTTAAGTTTTAAAAACAAGCACCGCCGTGTGGTATTTACATCTGTCAACGAACGGTAACCAGTTAAGAGCTTCGAATAGCTTCATTGACGGAGATCTTTGTGGTTGCTATAAAATGATTTTAGCATTTCGTTTTTGTAATTTACAAACAGTATTTATGTAGTTTGTGTTTCCTTTACCCAATATAATATAACAATAGTCCATAGTAGGCAATAACACAATAATTTCAAATCAAAGTTAAAAAAAACACGATATTTTTTTTCAATAAAGCAAATTTTCCGTTAAGTTTCTTACAAACATAGCCAATTTACAAGTGCCATCTATGCAAATACCCAGGACTTTTTGATCAGTTACATTTTCAAGAACTTTTTCATTTATCTTAAGATACAATTTTCTCATAATATTTACTTTTTGTCTTGTTCCTATTACCATACATTTTGATTTATCTGGATTTAAGGCCATATTATTGTTTTTCACCATTTCTCAATGTTATTTAAATGATCTTGAAGTTTTACTTCTACTTTTGATATATTTTCTCCTGACTCATAAAGAGTAGAATCGTCTGCGTATAAATCAATTTTTATATCATTACCAATGAAAGCTATGTCATTTATGTATATTAAAAATAATAAAGGTCCTTATATTGAACCTTGTGGAACACCGGAAATTATTTTCATTGTCTGAGATTAAAGATAACCTATCTTAACCAGTTGGATTCTGTTAGAAAGATATGACTCAAAAACTTAACGGCATTTTTTAAAAAAAGATAAAGCTTAAGTTTATGCAAAAGTATGCAAATCAAAGGCTTTCTTTAAACCCGATATTTTTTCCACTGTCAACATCTTTTAACCAAGTATCTATTAAACTAATGAGTGCAGTATTGCAAGAATGATTTTTGCGAAATCCTGATTGTTTATCATGAATTATTTTGTTTTGTTTTCAAAAATGAGTGAATTTGTTTGGCAATATGGCGCTCAAATATTTTGGATATAGTTGACAAAATTGATATCGGTCAATAATTATTTGCTTCATTCTTATCCCCCGATTTAATGATAGGTATAACTTTAGCCCTTTTTAAATCATCTGGGAAAATAGCTTTAGCCCCGTACTTCACTTCAGTGTTGTTATATTTTTCTGGTCCTTCGGGATCATTGATGCCAGCACTATTAAGTGTTGAGAATTGAGTACCGCTCAAGCCGGTGCTAGGGGGCGTGAGGGATGTTGCACGTATTCATTATCCCTCATGTACAGACTCAATCAAACCGAGTCTGCAGTTCTCTTGTAATTTTGTTGTGATTAATGCTTCCGAGGGGTCACTTTGTTTCCAGATTTTTAATACTATTATTGATAATTGTTGCAATTATTGGTGTAATATAATCTCCACAATGTTTGATGATGTTAGGCCAAATTCCATCTATCCTGTAGATTTTTTATTATTCAGTTTTTCAATAAAATAAGTTTTACTTCAAACGGTGTAATTGATCCAATATTAAATTCATGATATTTCAGCTTTTGGACTAAAGTTTCTTTCAAGTTTAAAAAAAACTGTATTTGAAAACTTTGTTATATGTATGACATTTGATATATTGACAAAATGCTTGTTTAATTCATTTAAATATTTACATTTTGTAAATTTCTTTCTTATCTGTCACTAGTCTGTCTGGCAGTGTGATACAACCTTTCAATCTTTCATTCAATCCATTCAGCAAAATTGATTTCTTTTCATGTTACCTATTAATTATTTATATGCTATTCTAAACTAGTGATGAGAGAAGTGTAGGGTTAAGTGGAAATCAAAAGTGCTGGCAAAGTCTATGCTATAAGGATCTTACACCAGCTACCGGCACAGACCGGAATATCTAGCTGGAGGGTAACCGTTTACGGCGGTAACGAGGAGCTGCCGAGTTTCCGAGTTACCCGAGAGCTCGATCTTCCCTTCTATAATATCATCCGGTGTTAATTTTGGTATCTTGCATATCAAATATTAATCATATTTCGGAAAGAAATTACGAAATTACGATAATGATAATCATCATCATCATCATGAAATCATGCAAACCAAGGTCAGGCGGCGAGATTGACAGATGAACGAGTCCATTTTAAATATTTAGTGTTTCAAGCGTTGATTGAAATACGTGTTTTATATAATTTTCATTAAATTTGTTTTACAATAATGTTTAACTAAATTATATTATTGTATAATTAGAAACTATTACAACAAAATGCTAATAATAATGACAATAATAAAAGTAATAATGATAATATAATTGTACTTACGTGAAGTTACCAATGAATCGAATTTTCAATATGACAACAGTAGAGTTCCTGAAACTGAGATCGCGCGCTACAGTTGCCAACGCGCATGTCTATGTATTCAATACCCTTATAAATTATTTACAAACGATCTGAAACAAGTTTTGTAGGAATGCTTCAAATGGACTTTATTGGTTTTGTTTCTGTGTCATAAATAATTGAATTAGATGTCTATTTGAACAATTATCATACCTGATTAAATAAACAAAACTTGCAAAAAAAATGTCTTCTGTGATAAAATTATAATTATTTTCATTTATTTATTGCAACAGCTTTCCCGCCATTTCATATAAATATTGTAGTTCACATTTAAGTATTTCAAAAAAAGTAATTCGCACACGCGCACGCACACCACACACGCACCATCAGCCTATTTTCGTGTCAAATTTAGATTGTTTTGTTTCGTTTCTAATTTAAAATCTTAAAACAAAATACATTCTGTCTATATAATCTAAAACAACACATATATTAGATATGCTATGCTCAAGCAAAGTATAAATTAAGTTTCATCCGCATAACCGAAAAGTACTGATATACGAATATTAGCCCATTTTACAGACCTCTGCCTGCTTCATTTTTGCCTACATCAACATTTGAATTTCGCACACGTGTATTTTCTGTTTTAGTTTTGAATCACTTATTTCTATTTAACAGAAATTATTGAATTAATTGATGGCATTTTTTTTCTTTTACGTCTTGATAATTAAGAGGTGTTGATACTGTCATATTATTGTGTAATAGTTTTAATATATGCAACTAAATTAAATGAATGTCGGAAGAAAAGCCTCGTTATTTCCAGGCAACTGATATAAGTAAACTATTTCAAAAAAATGTAAACATTTCAAAAACGAGGCACTTCCAACCAGCCTAGCGTAATTTAGAATTTATAGTAGATCAATGTCTTTTTTTTAAGGGAATGAAATTTATGTAAATGCAATGCGTTGCAAAAAGTAATACAAAATATTTTGGTATTCCATGGCAATAGCACTCAAATGCAGTTTCCTGTGTAGCCATGTTATGTTCAAAACGAGGCTTTTCTTCCATTTTAGTGCAATTGGAAACTTATAAAAATTAAAGTGTCGAAAGCAATAATAAGTCAAAGTGGGGATTCGAGACCGGAACTGGAAGCGAAAGTCCAGCTGTAACCGAGCTCGCCAGTCCTAAACCGAAGTATGACGCTTAGGGTCGAAAAGGTTGCATAAAGAAAATAACACATTTTATATACAAACATAAATGAGGAAGGAAAATTCAGTTAGATATTCTACCAATTTAAGTGCAGTAACATTATCGTTTTGTTTATCTTGTTTTTGCTTGAAAAAAGATGTTTTACTACCGGTTAAAAAAACAACAACATTATTTTGTTATATATACATAAAGTCGCTGGTTAATTCTAAATTTACTTTATGTAATTTAGCGATTTTGGGGAAAAGTATTTTAAAACAAGCGCTTACTTTTGAAGACGTATCAAACACACTATGTTTATAACCTTGGTTACCCTCTTAAAGCTCCCCAGTACAGAACTGTCATAAATAATTCGCTGCATTAATTCTGATAGCATTATATAAAACCACTTTATATCGATTTTAGTAAAAAAAATGAACCCAACAACTTCAATTATTTATATTATACACATTGCAAGTTTGATCTAAATTTTTTTTAATTAACTATTAATATGGTATTGAATTACGTGTATTATTCAGGTGCAGAGCATGCATTATTTTCTATGATACAATTAATAATGAATACTATTATAATGAATAGCTGGAATTACTGAAGTTACTGTAATCCGTATTTTTATAATAAATTGCTTAAGATACCGTAATCCGCATGTACAGCATGAATTGCTGAAGTTAACGTAATCCGCATGTACAGCATGAATTGATGAAGCTACCTTAATCCGCATGTACAGCATGAATTGCCGAAGATACCGTAATCCGCATGTACAGCATGAATTGATGAACCTACCTTAATCCGCATGGACAGCATGAATCGATGAAGATACCGTTATCCGCATGTACAGTATGAATTGATGAAGTTACCATAATCCACATGTACATCATGAATTAATGAAGATACCGTAATCCGCATGGACAGGTTACCGTAATCCACATGTACAGCATGAATTGATGACGATACCGTAATCCACATGGACAGCATGAATTGTTGAAGATACCGTAATCCGCAAGTACAGCATGAATCGATGAAGTTACCGTAATTCGCATGGATAGCATGAATTGTTGAAGCTACCATAACCCGCATGGATCACAGGTGTTCGGCCGCGTTGATTGGGTCACTACAACCAAACCCCTCTGTGTTTTCGTGTAACTTGCGTTTAAAATATTATATATAAGATTCTGTTGAATATTTCTTTCATAACCAAAAAAAAAAAGAAAGATAAAAAAAATACATAAATACATAAATAAAAAAGATACACATACATTTATATTTAGTATATATTATATTAAGTAAAGGTACTTAAAAGCACTCATCCAAATATGAGATACATAACTCAAAACATTTTTTCACCAATTTCAAAATCTTGGTTCCAAATTGACTATATTAAATTGTAATTTTAATGATTTCTGATTTCAAGTATTAAATAAATAGACATGTAATCTCAGTTACCGCAAGTTATTTTTTTTTTTTTTTTTTTTTTTTTTAATTATAAAATTATTATTTGTTATAAATGTTCAATCTACGGAAGCATGGAGAGGACATAGTCGATTTATTTTAATAATCTGTGGGAAACAACTTATTTGTCGAAATATTTTTTTTTAATCTGTGGGAACAACATGTTTTGTTGAGAAAAATCTTTTTTTTATCTTGTTGGGAAGCAACATATTTTGTGAAGTAAAAAAATCTTTTTTTATCTGTGGGAACAAACATATTTTTGTGAGAAAATCTTTTTTTATTCTGTGGGAACAACATATTTTTGTGGAGAAAAAAATCTTTTTTTATTCTGGGAACAACATATTTTGTTGAGAAAAATCTCTTTTTTTTATCTGTGGGAACAATTATTTTGTGAGAATTTTTTTTTTTTCTGTGGGAACAAACTTTTCTGCTATACTTTTTTTCAATATCTTGTCCTCAAGATTAATAAGTTGTGCGAACAAATTAATTATGTTGTTCCCACAACATAATTCAACCAATTCAAATTCTTGCATCTTGTTGTCAGAAAAACGTAGGAAATTCTAATAATTTCTAAACAATTTCTTCTGCCATTATTGCAATATGTGTGAACAACATAAATTAATTTGTTCGCACAACTTATTATCTTGAGGGAACAAGAATTGAAAAAATACGCAGAAAATAGTTTGTTCCCACAAAAGTAAAAAAAAGATTTTTCTCACAAAAATAAGTTGTTCCCACAAGAAATAAAATTTTTTTTTACTCCAAATTAAGTTGTTCCCACAATAAAAAAAGAATTTTTCTCAACAAAATATGTTGTTACCACAGAATAAATAAAGAAAAAAAAAATTTTTTTTTCTGCGACAAAATAATGTTGTTCCCAAGAATAAAAATTTTTTCCTTCCACAAACATGTTGTTCCCCAGATTATAAAAAATATTTCGACAAATAAGTTGTTCCCACAGATTATTAAAATAAATCGACTATGTCCTCTCCATGCTTCCGTATCAATCACATCATGAACAAACATCTTTAACAAACGTTGTTTTTTTCTCAATATGTGAAATTGTCAATCGTAATGAAAGTAACTGTTACAGCAGATTGCACCTTTTTACTTTGTAGGATGGCATATTTCTGTCAACAGTTAACCATTTAATTATTGCGTTAACTATCTGACTAACTAGTTAGTTTTCGTGATAACACGTTAAATAACATATATTTGTCAGACTTATAATAAAAAGTATGTAGATGTTTTGTACTTCTTGCATTCTGACTTTTCTGACTTTTACATGTTGCTTTCTTACATGCACATTATGCTTTCTGCTGTGTGCGTCTTGCTTAATTGTATGTTGATATCGTTATTTAACGATCAATTATTATTCATTTGTTGATCTGGTACATTAATTCAATAACTTAATTAACCTGCAAATAATAAACAAAACGATTTAACCAAAATTTGTATTTATTACTGAAACTCTGTGGGTCAAATTATATTTCCAGCTGACAATGACAAGTTGCACATTTACAAATCAATGATTTTAAAATTATATTTTTATCAACAAAATAATTATAAAATAGAACAGTTGTTCAAAGTGCTTGGGCCATAAAAAACTTCTTAGTAAAATATTTCATCCTCTTGAAAAGTTCCTAATTTTTAACATGGCTTATTTCCAATACCTGTGACCATCCACAACATTTTATGTGTTTTTATTAATTGGACATTTTCTTGCCTATTTTCAAACTAAATTTGTACACACATTGTTAGATTTTTTAAATTCAACTTGTCAAAAAGAGTTATTTTTCACTAATTTGAATTTAACTTTAACGTAGACAAATTTGAGGATAGTCAAATAACGAACGATTCATGCAATTTAAAGCAAAATGTGCAAGTCATAATGCAAGATGTGCAAGCCAGAATGCACTGTGTGCATGTCATAATGCAAAATGTAATAGTAAAAATCCAAGATGTACAAGTCAGAAAGCACAATGTAACGTAAGAAGGCAAGATGTAATTTTTGCGTCAATACCCTTCCATACTTTTGTACTGTTATTACAATCATATATACATATCGTGTAAAATTATAACGTATGCTACATAAAAAAACTGCAGTTAACTTTGATTTTTTTGAAAGGTCGGAGTTTTAGAAGGGGTAAGGTTGAGGTGACTTATCAACTTGCTGAACACCTGTGGGATGGATAGCATGAATTGCTGACGCTATCGTAAAAAGAGATAGACCACAAATAAATGTAACTTGTAATTATATATAAATTCTTTAAAAAATCAACACAGCATAATAAATGTATAAAAAATAACATATACACCACATCCTCTAAACCGAGAGCAACATACATTTTACATTGACATCATTTTAATTGAAAACAAAACATATTGTGTTAATTAAAAACAAATGCATAA